CCGCCTCGTCATGGCGGCGCCGGTGCTCGTGACCACCGTCATCGGCCTCATGGGCTTCGGCTGGTCCGCGCAGGAGCGCGACCACTGGATCGTGCCGACCATCTTTTTCGGTCTCATCTCGTTCGGCTGCACGCTGGGGTCCACGACGTCCATTACCTTTTGCGTCGACAGCTACCGACAGTACGCGGGCGAGGCGCTCGTCACGCTCAACTTTAGCAAGAATATCTTTCATGGTCTCGTGTTTAGTTTGTTTGTCACGCACTGGCTTACCTCGGACGGACCCAAGATGGTGTTCATCTGGCTGGGCGTCATTCAGCTCATTTTCCTAATTGCCACGGTTCCCATGTTCATTTACGGGAAGCGGGCGCGCATGTGGACTGTGAGGAAGAACTTTATGGAGAAATTTTAGAGGAGCATTGTCTGGTTTTCCCTCCCTTTCTGATATCTTCTGCATGGAGTTGGAGTTTAGGGGATCTACATTTACACTTGCATCACAGCATCTTACAAGTTTTATCCACCACTGGATGGGGTTTTCCAATGAGTCGGGTAGCATGTTTCACGTGGGAATGAGGCCCAGGTATGCATTTGTTGGATGGGTTGGAATCTGACGATTTTTTGCATTCTTTTCCTCCACGTTGAAACCGAGGCTTATATATGGCCTTCTTATGACAACATTGGTTCTCATGATACCTTTAGAGTTTGTATGACCTAGAACAGGTTCCAGAAGAAATCAATCGAATCTAGATGAAGCTATTTCCCCGAGGTTTTTGAAAGTTTTAAGTGCCTGCGAGATGTCACTTGTGGGATGTGGGCTCTGCTTAGGTAGGTATGCCATTGCCGATGAGTCTGCGTCTGAGCTGATTGCGGCTTGAGGGTGTCGTCGAGCTGAGTCGTTGTCGCTGATGAATGTAAGGTAATTGAATATCTGCTTCGACTTTTTACGCGTTACTTTGAATGACACTCCAACGCTCAACCTCCTCCCCTTTCGACACGGCATTTTACATCCCGTTGTTCATATCGAGGCGAGTGGTACGCAATGAATGAAGAGGGAACAGTCACAAGGCACCACACTTAGAAGACTGCGTTTGAAAGAATGGATGAAAGAGCAAAACTGACTTTTCTTTCCCCCCCTTTTTTTGGGGAAAAGAATGATAGACGGTGTAGATCTACCTTGAAAAAGAGCGAAGAAGAAGAAAGCCAAGCACTGCGAGAAGAATCATAAACTGACTGTCCAAACCCTATCCCGCTCCTCCTCTCCCGTTTCAAATCCAACAGAAATCTAGTCAGCTAGCAGTCTTCACCACCTCGCCAAGGTAGGCCGGTATTCCATCAGCTGAGTCGATCAAGACCGCGGCGGCTACTGCTGCTGCTGCTGCTGCTGCTGCTCGTTGTCGCTATCCGAGCCCGAGCCGGCGGCTTCCCGAATAATGAGCCCGCCAAGATACTGGTGAGAGGGGCTGTTGGCGATCTGGGCCGTGGAGCTGGTTGATGACATTGAGGACTCTTGCTCTCCTCCTTGTCCTCCTTCTGCTTCGGCCTTGCGCGTGGGCGAGCGGGAGGGGATGTCCTGGGTGCGGGCCGGGCGCGGGCGTGGGCGTTGCGGGATCGAGGCATCCTGGGCACGCAAAGCCTGCCATTCTCTTCGTCGTCCGAGCAAATCCGCATACACCTGCTCTTGATCAATCTGAAGAGAAATTCAGCAAACGAAAACTTGTGAGGTGCATTTTGTGGGGGTAGAGGGTTCGACGGGACTTACCTCGGTCACGGACTCCACGTCTGGTTGAGGTTCTCCCTCGCCTGAGATGCCGACTTTCTCTTCATCTTCCTCGCCACTGTCAGAGACCTCCTCTGGGTATACGGTATAGTCTGGGTTACTGTCTTGCAAAGGACCGAAACAGTCCACGAGCCAGTCATCAAAGGACTTTGCGGTGGTGGCAGCAGTCCCCTGGGTCGTTGTCTCTGGCCATGCTTTGCTATCATCCCATTGCTCAGGGATCCAACCGAGGAATTGACGCATCTTACCGCGTATACCAAATTGTTCCCATGGGTGGGGGGGCAGTTTCAAGTCGGCAAAGTAGGCTGGTAATCCTGCCTTGCCAGCTTCGGTGTGCTCCCAGACAGAGGAGAACAGGTGGTCCAGCATGACGACTCTGGGCGTCTCGAGATCAAGGCCATTGTTGCGGAGAGTGAGGAAGACGTTGCGGGGAAAGATGTCGGGGACGGACACGCCCAGATGCATGCAGACAACGATCTCCTTGAGGAGGTCTTTGATGGCGTCCAAGCACACTTGGCGATCCAGTGGTAGCATCTTGGCCTGGCCCTTACCCTCCGCCTTGGGATCGCTATGAAGAGAGACAGGCCTGCCTAGCGGCGGCTGGAGGTACCCAGTGCCACGGTCGCGAGTACACATGGCCTCAATCGAAAGGCCTTCAATGTACTCGATGAGAATGAGACCAACCCATTCGTCTATAGTCGCGGCGACGTCGAAAACCTTGCGATTGATGACCCAGCAGCCATAGTATTGAGCAATGATGTGAGGGTATCCAGACATCTCTTTCTCGTAGAAGAACTGGTACACCGCGGCCTCGCGGCAGAGCTCGCTGTACGCGACGGTGGCGTCGTCAAAGGGGGGTTTCTTGGGCAAGTCGAGCCCGCCGCGCATGGGATAGAGTCGAGGGTCGAATACTTTTGCAACGACGAAGCTGTCTCCTCGCCTCACCTTGCTATGCTTGGGGAAAGTCGGAAAGGGTGCATGCTTCTTGATTTTGTTGCGGTCAGTAGGTACTTGAACGACCTTGCAGAGCAGAATCTGTGAGCCGACGTCTCTGCCAGCTCGCAGTGGCCCCACGATCTTGAGCTGGGGCTTCTTCAGCTTGAGCTCCTCCCCGGTGGGCTCGAGCGAGCGAGGCTGGTAGTCGTCTTGAAAGGGCGGGAAATCCCCCGAGCCAAATGGCTCCGATGGGTCATGGGGTACGAGGTCCAGCTTCTCTCCGTGCGCATATCTCCTGACGGCTGCGTTACGGATGGCCAACTCATCCATGATGGGTGGAGGGAGGTTCGGTGCCAAATAAAAGTGATAAATCGCTTCGTCGATAAGATGGTGGTAACAAGATGCGGGATTGCAAGTGTGAGAGAAGACCGAATAGCTGCTCGAATCGCCAGGCCCGAATGAGAGAGAGGAACACTGAGCCAACTCGACTTATGCGAACAGGACAGTGATAGGCTAGTGGCGCGAGAAATGATGGTTGCTGCCAGACTGGAGTGGACACTGACGTGGCTACTTTGAGGCCGGATATCTGCAGAAAATGGTCGCAGGATTGTTGTTTGGAGGGGTTGTAATACCAGGAAGACCCGGAAAAAGTCTGTGTGACGCCAGTAAGGCGGTTGGGAGTTGGAGAAACACAACGAGCCACCTGGATGAGCTTCAGGTATCCGTAACGGCCGCAAATATTATCTCATACGGGTGCTCATACAGAAAGCAAACCAAAAGTTGCAAAGATGTACGGAAACTTTCTTCTTCTTTCTGTTTACATATATATATATATATATAGCTCTCTCTCTCTCTCTCTCACAGGCACCGTATGTCCTAGTCGAAACTTTGGGCATATTGAGCTGCAATTCGCCGTAGGATAACTGCATGTCCCTCCGCCACAATCGCGGAGTTGGGAAGATATGCAGGTGAGGATGCACCTAATATCCTGGCAGTGTCCAAACTTCTAACATCTCCAAATAGGCCAGAAAAGTCAGGACTTGAATGTCATGCATGGACTAGAGTCTAGACTCATGGCAAGAGCCTGTTGGAATCTACCCTAGTCTCCCGACAAGACGGCCTCGGAGACTTCATTTGTCCTTTCATCGTGGGTATAGGTGTAGTTGGCCGGCGGTGTGAAGCGGATGACGGGAAGGAAGCTGGCTTTCTGAACGACCTTGTTGTTTACTCATTCTTGACTGGTCGCTCAGACTATTATACCTCTTCTTGGAAGAGCCGTTTCAAGCCTTGGAGACTCCATATAGCCCATCATCATGGGCAAAGCTGTAGTTGGCCGGCGGTGTGAAGCGGAACATGGTAAGGAAGCTGGCTTTCTGACCGACCTCGTTGTTTGCTCAACCCTGACTGGTTGCTCAAACTGTCATCACAACTCTTTCTATCAGGACGGTCTGGTGACTGCATATGCACCTTCATTTTGGACGCAGCTGTAGCTGACCGGCGGTCTAAAGCTGTTGATGGGAGAGAGGTTGACTTCCTAATGGGCCTCAATATGCAGGTATACGGGCCACAAAATGGTCAGCACTCTTTCCTACACTGGATAGAAGGCAGTGTTAACCGAGAAAGTGTGATGCTATGAATTGTGAAATCCAAGAACATACATCACATGTTGTCTCATGGGTTATGAAAAAGATCTTTTTTCATAATTTTGCATCAATGAGCGATGCCAGTTTTGTGCTCCAAGAGTTTGAGTACGCTGTTTATAGTCCTGGCTGATTACGTACTCCGCATCAACGGAAGTATAAGTTTTGTGATACGTGCGATTTACGTATTGAAGCTGTTGAATCTATTTAATACGGAACGGATTCTTAGTAGTGAACGGATAGAATTCCTTGCGTCTACTATAAAGTTCTATGCACCTTCTAGGTATACTGTACAGGAATATTCACTAGCCTAGAGCATTTATGCAAATGAAGATGTTGGGTACGCTGCTTCGGCCCTCTCAAGTCAATTCTCATACGCTTCATGTCTGGTGCCGGCGGTGAAAGACAACATGTCACTAACCGCAAGGCAGTAGAGGACACTCTCCAGCCCATGACGAGCGATACCGAACCGGCAGCCGTGACATGATATCCACTACTTAGTACATATATTCAAACAAGGTCCTTCTATCTTGAAATCAGAGGAAGAGAGACAAGCCTTGTCACATCTCTCTCGTTGATAAACCTCTTTATCCATCCATCCACCCATCGCCTTATCCTGGAGTCTTTTTCTCAAACCGACTGTTCCCAACATGTCTACTCGAATCTTCCAGCGCCCGTCCGCCGTGGATTACATCCTAGGTCCTACCCCTATACCGACCTATCCCATAAAACCAACCGACAGGCGCGTCTCTGAGCCCAGCAAGGGTGTCCGAGCTGTCAGGGTTCCTCACTTGGTACGTCGAGATGTATCCGACTACCTCAGCCAGGCTTTCAACCTTGTCCGCCATCTCGACAATTCGGAGTGGGGATCTCTTCTCGGCCACGCTGTTCTCAGCCAGAACCCAGTGCGATACATCGTCACTGAGCATGACAGTGTTAGCGCCGCAGAGGTGCATATTCTCGACACAGCCGATCGGATATTGCATTTTGCCCTGGAACACGGTCTGTTGCCGGGCCCTCCGAGAAACCAAACCAACAACACCCCGATGATCCAGAGCTGGGGCGAGGCTACCCTGTCCGTCGAATTCAATGGCAATCCCGACGAACGCCATCAACTTCGAGCGGACCGCATCTACTGCCGGACATTGAAGACGCCCACTGATCCTACTCCCATTCCCAACCTCAACCGAATCGGCGACAGGGTGGCAAGAAGCCGTTGCTTCATGGTCTGGGAGGTCAAGGCTCATCATGCCCTGGATAAAAACTCCCTGTACACATCCGCTAAAGACGTGAAGAATACTTTGGTCAACTTTGTCCACTACAAGAAGAAGCGTGGCCAAGACAAGGACATCGATGACGGACGCCTGCCCCAAACTCCACCGCCAAACCCTGACGACCAGAGCAACCGCCCTCACGGCTGGAATACTGAAGACTGGTATCTCATTCTACAAGCAGCAGCGTACGCCTGCCTGTACCGCACCAAGTACGTGGCCATTTTCTGCTGGGGTACCCTCTACTTGTTACACTTCAAGAACTTGAGCCTGTCTCCTGGGGTTACCGTCGAAGAGGTGTGGAAAAAAGGTCCGGGGGCGAACTGTGACATCACTGTCGTGACGGACACCTCTCTTATGGTTGCTGCCGTGGTTGGCTTCGCGATTGAGGCTTACAACAACACGCCAAGGGATGACATTGATGGTCCCTAAAGGCCTTCAATTATGCTCCACGTCCCCTTATTCTTCACGGAATATGCTGTCAGAGGTGGTCTATGAGGGTGTGGTGGGTGCCAAAGTATGGCTGGCTGTACGGTCAAAAAATTTCTTCTCACCGAACTAACAAGTCCCTCAATTCACCTTCTTGTTCTTCATCTCCACAGTCTGACAAGACGAGGTCGCGGTCTTGGTCGGTTTCGTAATTGAGGCTTACAGCAATACGCCCAGGGACCACGCGGATGGGTGTCCTCCTCCTTCTTTCCCTTCTCTAAAGCCCCCTCTTATTGCCCTTTTCAAATGCCCCCTCTTGTTTCTCTTCTCCAATGCCCTTTCTTGTTTCTCTTCCTTACAAGCTCAGCCCGCCGGATTGGCGTGTGGCTTATGGCCTTCTTCCGACTCTTCTACTGGTTAAAAATTGTTCGTCTACCGTCTTCGCGTTGTAGGCTCTCGGGGATTTCTACGCGTGAATACATGGAATAGAAAAACCAGACAAAGCAATTGCAGTGTAGATTAGCTCGGAGCAGCAAAAAAAACAACTAAACGTTCTCTCTTTGATCTCGCATCCTATGAAGTATGGCCCTACTAACGTGTATGCATCCATCTGCCCCCAAGGTAAGGCACCTCGGGTTTCATTCAGTTCAGCTACTTAAGTACTTACCTTGTCCGAGGTACCTTCCTGCTTATCTTTCCGTAACTGTGATGGAAACATATGGCGAAAGCGGTCCAAATCATCCCCACAAAGTTGGACGCATGCCGCAAACCTGCAAAAAGAGAGACTCGCCCATTCATGCGCCGAGGGGGAATCGAACCCCCGGCTCCCCGACGCTGCTGGATGGCAACGGAGAATTTTACCACTAAACCATCGGCGCGATTCGCTGAATCGAGTCCCTTGTGGATGCGTGTTCGACAGGTCAGGTCAGAATCATGTTGGGGCTTGTGGATGTATCTTGATGCGAAATCAGACATAAAAAGGCAATTGTGCATTTTCGTGAGTCGCCCAAGTCTCCGCCGGGTCCGCCGGACCCCACCACGCCCACCTGGAAGGCGTGGTCGTCACGGACCTGTAGTGCAACCCTATGGAGCCCGCTTCGGCGTTTGTGGGTCACGTTCCACCCGGGGCGCTGCAACACTAACACAACCTCAATTGGTGCTCTGACCGTGCTTGACTTTAATCTGACATCCTCCATCTGACGACGGGGTAACACGCCATCATCTCGATATGACCCTTCTGTTACTTGAGACACGTCCAGTTATACAGTTGAATTTGCCATTTAGCTTATACCGTCGTTTCGAGTGGCCATGCCATCAAATCACCATTCACTCCGCCAGCCTTAGAAAGCTCCGCCTCAGCCTCATCTCGCATGCGTCGGTGGTCGTGGGGAAGAATGGGGTTGCACAATGAGATCTCCCGCCTCGATCCCGCTGCTGTCCGGTAATTTGGGTCGAGAACCATAACACAGGGTTCCTTGCGCATGCATATATTGAGGCTCGGCCGGAACTCAAGTCAAGCTTCGCCTCCCGCCGCGTCCCCTCATCGACGACCATGATTTCTACACTTGTCGTCATTCGGCCCATTGTATCTGCCAGACACGCGTGATGAAACCAGTCCTGCGTCCGGTGTGTCATATTCACCTTCCCCAAGACACTCGCCCATGATGTAGAATAGAGATCTCACTCGTGTCGCGTGGACCACGTAATCCTGTAGAGAAGCTTAACAAAGTAGACGTGTTGCAGATCGTTGTGTTCCATCGCCAAGCTCAATCCTCCGGTAAAAGGCTTGCATCCCCATTATCACATCTCACATGCATCATCTGGTCTTGTGTCAAAGCTTTTGCTCGGGCGAACATGTCTTTTATTCGCATTTCCTCAAAACCCGTCTGGTGTCGCGATTCCAAGCCGTCCCATGTAGTCCACCGGGGTTTTCTCCATCCAGCACTCCTCCCTAAACCCTTCGTCTATCCCAAGCCGGAACCCGAAAAAAACAGAAAGCTCAAGAAGACCCGCCAAGAAGAGAAGACAGTCCAACCCCAAGAGTGTCAAGTGTTCCCAGTGTACATGTATGTAATGCTTCCTTAGAAGCCGAGGCCGCGCATGATGTCAGTCAGACCGTTGTAGGTCTCCATGCTGGCTCTGGCCTGCATGTCGAGAAGCTGGCTGATGGTGGCCAACTCCTCCGAGATGTCAGCGGCCACAGTGCCGCCATTGTTGGCGCTCTCCTCCTCAGAGCCCTGCTGGCCAGAGTTGGTGGTGCCGGTGGTGCTCTTCTGAGCAGAGGCAGGCGAGGCATTGGCCTGCTCAACGCTCCGAAGGAACGCCTTGTCATGGTAGCGCTCGGCGAAGCGCTTGACAGACTGGCCCATGTACTCGATGTTGCGGGCAGTGCTATTTATTCATCATCAGTATGTATTCCTTCCCTGGGGATGCGGCTTCACGTGTGAAGCCGCATGAGAAAACGAAGGACAGGGGTGATAAGTAAAATTAAGGGAAACTGTAGATCGTGAGAGAGCCAAGGCTGATAAAAGCTCAAGAACTGGAGTGGTGAATAGAAATGAGACGAAGCAAAGACAACGAGAGAATGCGGTTTCACTCGTAAAGCCGCATGAGAAAATAAAGAACAGGAGCAGTGAGTAGTAATGATTGGAATTGAAAAAAATGGTAAAGGCAAATTTGATAGAGGGCAAGGTGATGAGACGACAAAGAGCATTGCTTACCGGTTCGCAACAAGCTTGTTGAGGGCGTCAGACAGCATCTTGACCTTGGCATCACGGTCGCGCTCGTAGATGTAGTCGGACATGCTGGCGCGCTTGATGCAGGTGGTGCGGAAGGCACGGTACTCGGAGAAGACCTTGGACTTGAGGGCTCTCTGCTCAGGAGTCTGGTTGGCGAGGTAGGTTCGAGTGCGCTGGGTGTTGGGGTTGGTCGAGTACTCGCCTCCCTTGCGGCGCGCATCTCCGTTTTCACCAGCCATTGTGAATGTCGGTAGTGAGTGGTTTGATTGACTGAAGGGGTTCGTTGGTGATTTCGATTGCCTGGGTTCCGAGAAGTGAGGTATTCTCGTAGATGGGTTGTTGTGTGGGTGAAGAAGTGGAAGTGGTGGGTGGAGGAGAGAAGAAGGTCACAAATAATTTGACCGGCAGGCGGAATAATTATGACGGGCCACTCAGGCAGCGAGAGAGATATTCACAAGGAAAGCGTAGAAAGGAGCAGAAGGAAGGAGTGATCGACTGCCAAAAGAGGGAATAAAAGGGTGGGATGTGAATAGTTGCACGTGTGTGGGCGGTGAGTGAAGTCTCCAGATGTTGTTTTTCGCTACTTAGGAAACAGCCGGTCATGTGATTGCAATATTCTCAAAGAAAGTCTTCTTGAGAATAACCAGCCCATTCCTTCCAAGATTGCCCATAAACACGACAGTCATCTTGCGATTCGCAGACCATCTGGAGCTATGAGGTCGTCACTTGGGCCTTTTGAAGTGCAGTGAGTGCCAACACCCAAGAGCCAGGCTCAACGAGGCGTCCCTACAACCACTGGAATCATCTCAAGAACTAGTGTTTGATAGCTCATTACATTGATGTGACGATGCCACCTGTTATATGGATCTTAGCATCGTTTGGTTGAGCCTTTGTCGATTTCATGAAGCAGCCCATCATTGCCGAGCGATACTTTGCGAGCAGGGTGAGACCTTGCCCTCTTTCCACTCATAGAACCAAACTAATGCTCAATACTTCTAGCCTAGTCCTGAGCTGGTTCTGAATCTCATTGATCATGTCAGTCAGCCCTCTCGAAATCTACTATCCCATCGCTATGCCTCAAAATCCCGAACCGAGTCACCCGCCAAGAGAACAACCTCCAAACAACCACTCCAACCCAGACCCGAAAACCTCCCTCCGTCTTCACTCCTCGAGAACCCACCTCAACCCACGAACCATCTCCTCCTCCGCCTCGACAGCCCTCGCCAACCAAGGCGCCTTCAACCAAAACGTATGTGGCCACCCCCTCACAACCTCAACCCTCACCTCGACACCCGCCCCTGCAAGCGCCATCGCATAACAAACACCGTCAGAGTACAGCGTATCGTTACTACAAACCTGCACCCACGTCCTCGGCAGCGCAGCCAGCGTCTCCGTCCCGGCCTCAAGCGGCATCCTCTCCAGCCCGTCGCGCGGGACAGCGCGCGAGAAGACGCCCAACAGACTCGTGACGAAGGACGGCGAGGTGGGCGAGGTATACGCGTGCCACAAGGAAGACGGCACATAGTCCAGAGAGCTCCCGCCGTCGCTGGTGACTGGACAGCGTAAGAGGACGCCGTGGAGGGATCCGCGGGGCACGGCTTGCGAGACGGCGGCAGCGAGCTGGCCGCCGCTGGAGGAGCCGACGATGATGAGCTTGGTGGCGGAGGACGGGTGGAGGGAGCGGATGTGGTGGAAGGCGTCAAGAGAGTCGGTGACGCAGGTTGAGGCCGGGAAAGACGGCATGAGTCTGTATCCCACCGAGTACACCTTCGCGCCCTCCAAGTCCTTGGCGATGCGTCTGCATGATAGCTCTTCGCTGTCTGCCTCGCCGACGTAGAGCCCGCCGCCGTGGTAGTAAATCACGACGATCTCGTCGCCGATGAGGTCGTTTTCGGTGTCGTCAGAGAAGCGGAGGATCGGGATGGCGAATTGGTCTAGACTCGAGGGGTCATGACTGGCTGTGTTGCGATGCTCGATAGGTGGTGGTATGGTGCGCCGGGGGCGAGCATGCGGGCGTTGAGCTGTCTGCATTCTTCTGCGTAGACAGGCTGGCGGTCGAGGGGTGATGCGTACGTCTTCTTTGGGCCTTTGGCTTTTACTTCTTCCTCGTACGCTAGCCAGGCGGGATCTAAGAGAGGTGCCTCGTTGAGGATGAGATGGTTTAGTGAGGTCATGTTGAGTGAGTTAGATGTATGTGATCAAATAAGGACAGTAGGATTAAATCGATCAAATGTCACAATTCGATAACGAGAGGCTCAAGAGCGAAGATCACCACATTTGTACGCGGCATTGGTGTTAAGATGCTTTATGAGATGAGGTTAGACTCAAGGTCCGATAGTGGGGAAGTCGGGGCTTCCGGGCTGTTGTTGTCGCGACGAGATCCCGTTTATCCGGCCGTAGTTCCGGGGAGGGCCGGGCAGGTGTGAGCTCGCCCCTGAGAACCAAATGATTACATATCAAAATCTCGGTACTCACTGCGTGTGTATGAAGTGACCGAATTCATAGGATATTGCTGGACGAGCCATGCGGACGGTCGCGCTGTTGGGCTTGGCGGCTCGGTGAAGGGCCACCACTGCGGTTAGCGCCGAGGAGACGAACTCCGAACCGGAAAAATTCAACCGAACATCAGCATCCTTCAAACCGACTCTGCAGAGTTGGCCGCTCAGAATGAACGAATATGTCATAAGATGGGCAGAGCGCTTGGTACAGCAGGTCGATATTAATGTCCACTGGGTTGATTCCCTCCCCTTGGACCGATCGCCTATCTACAATGCTAGAGTACACAAAGGGAATCGAAGAACGAACGCGTCTATAGCACGGAAAGATCGCCGAACTTCTCCTGCAGAGGGAATTAGTATGCCGAATCATATCGGAATGGTGCTTTGACCGTACCTTGTATCCCGGAACGGTCCAGCGGCCCTTGGAGACGAGCTGGGAGGTCTTCTCGTCGATTGAGGGCTCGGCGGCGGCGACATCGTCCTGTAGTCATAATCAGCATCCGGCCATCCACGTCCTCCACGTATTCCGGCGGTACGTACGACAGTGAGGTCCTCGAAGGGGCGAGCGGACTCGATGTTGGTCAGGGTCTTCTCGAGGTCCTTGAGCTCGAGGTCGACCTTCTGCTTGGTGGCCTCGGCGTTCTTGACGGCCTCGACCTCAAAGGCCTCGATGGCCTTGATCTGGCGGGAGACATCGTAGGTAGCGGGCTTGAAGGCGGAGAAGCGCTTCTCGATCTCGTCGATGACGGCCTGGTTCTTGAGGACGGAGCGGTACTGAGCGAAGTCGACGGTCGTGGGGAGCTCCGACAGCTGCTGGACCCTGCGGCGGGCGTTCTCGTTGCGCTGCTTGAAAGCCTGGAGGGAGGCGGCGGTCTGGCCCTTGAGGCCGAGGGAGGTGGTGACCTTGGCCCAGTCGAGCTTGAGAGCTGCGCTTCGCTATTGCAGGACAAGGAGAGAAATTAGCTCAGGTGGCCCAGCTTCAAGGGAGCGGATGCGCGGATGCGCGACCCAATTGGCGACATCGGCGGCAATTGCATCAATCGGCGACGAGAGACGAGCGGATTTCGATGGGATACACGTACTGCGGCCATTTTGGAGGATTTGTTGAAGGTTCGGGGGAGTGGAGAGGGAGTTGCGTCGTCGTGAGGTTGATGATTGACTTTGCCGACCGGAGAGCAGAGAAAGAGCCGGGATGAGGTGTGTCACGTGGGCAATCACGTGATATTTATTCGGCCGAAAGTACTGGGGTGTGGTTGGCTGCACGGGAACGAACGGTTCAATGGTGGGGCAGAGCTCCCGGCTTTTGCGAATTCGGTCTGAGCCAACTCCCGCCAGATCGAGGGGTAGCTGTGAATTCAACCAGACGAGGCTGGTCTACAAAGGTATTTCGAGCAGGAGTCAGTCCACAACCTGGCCACAGCCAATCACGTATCACGTATGTCGTAAGCGCAGTGTCCAGAGTGCAAGAAAGCGCCGATTATCATGACCTCTCATTGCGAAAGAGACTTTTCGGAGTCAACTCCCTGGGAATTGTACATGCCAACCCGTTCCGTCCTTTTTGCTGTGTCGAGATTTTGAGAAACTACCTTTGACCGGGGCCGCCGCTAAATACTCAATGCCATAATAGAGTTGACGATATCGTTGTCGTTCTCCTTCAGGGCCTTGATAGCCTTCTTCCGGCTAACGTTGGCCTGGGTCATGACGAGCTCAATGTCCTTGTCCTCGATGCCCTCGGCATCAACCTCCTCACCATCGTCCTCCTCCTCGTCCTTCTTGGCCTCGGCGTCAGCCTCGACGGCCTTGCCGTGGCTGGAGTGGTCGTGGCCGGCGTGGTCGTGCTCACCACCAGCAGCGGCGAGCTGCTGGGCAGCGGCCTGCTGAGCAGTGGCGTTGAGGTCCTCAATCTTGGCCTCACCGAAGACGCTTAAATGCGCATGTCAGTTTCCACACATCGCATGGTCCATGGTGTAGTACGCTACTTACATGTAGGTGTTGCTGTTGGGGGACTTGTAGACCTCGGGGCTGTTGATGACGAAGAGGATCTGGGACGTGGGTCAGCCTTGTTCAATATGCCCCCCGCATTGCGCCGTGCGTGCCACCACCACCACCAACAACAGCCACATCATATCATGCCAGGCAACTCACGTTCTTGGGGCGGCGGAGAGTGACGCGGGTGATGCCCTGCACTCTGGTCAGGTGCAGCTTCTCGAGAGCCTTGCGGGCCTTCTTCTCGTTGCGGGAGTGGATGACGGCGGTGGAGCCGGAGGGAAGGCCCTCGGCATCCTCGCCCTCAATCTCGGAGTCGGAGCTCTCGTCCTCGTGCTCCTCGACGGAGACCTTCTTGGTCTCGTCATCGGGAAGCTCTTCAACGCGGGGGTTGGCCATTTTGTCGACTGCTGAACCGAGGGGAAGAAAAAAATTGTTAGCTGCGGGGTGCTTCTGGTGTGGTGGTGGTGGTGGGAGCTAGGATCGCGCGCAGAGCTGATTTGGCGAGCTCGGATTTGGGTGTCTGTGGGAAGGGGAAATTGCCAACTTTTCGCACAAAAATTCGTCGGTGCAGTCGCGGGTTCGTTGATCGGGCAATGGCGTCAAAAATTCGACAGAGGGACAGCAACACTTACCAAAGACTAGAACGAGGGATCCTTAACTCGGCGTGGGGGATTATGTTCGGTGGCTTTGTGGTTTGTAGGAAAGATCGCAGAGAAATTCTAGGGTTAGCAGCACCTACTGTGTTAAAGTGGATTAGGTAAGCAGAAGACAACCACCTGCGAGTCTGCCAACGCTCCCGACCTGAGTGGCACCCCCCAGTCCAGGTCCCCCGGATGGGACGCGGTGCACGCCGGGCATTTCGAGCCACAGCCTCCGCCTCCTCAAGCAAATGGATGACATTCTGCCCGTCATTTCTACAAGGCTGAGGCAGAACCTGGCCGTGTATGGGCTCACTACGAAATCTGGGCTTAATCGGGACGGTTCTCAAACGGCATTTCGAGAATGGACTCCTGGCCATGGCATTCACGTCAAGAATAGGTTCGTCATGAAGATTTACAGAGTCTCAAAAGGAAAACCGAAAAAAAAGTCTTTACTCCGTGTCCCCGTCACGAGCCAACCAATCTATTTTTCTGATTGTGCCATGAATTCATTTTTGTCTCTGAATTTCCGTATTTGACGCCGGTCATCATATGATTGATGATGAATGTGACATACAGCCCTTCCAGTTACGGAGCAAAAGAGATGTGCAGCAACCCAATGCTGCGGTGATGCAGACCAAACCGGATCCCATGCTGTCACGCTCTAAACCAGCCCCGTAGTCTTCAAAGTCAACCCCATAGACATCCTAATCGTGAGTCCATTACGCCGAGGCCTTGACCTTGACCAGAGCCTTGCGCTCTTCGAAACGGCGCTGCTTCTTGAGGCGGAGGACCTTGAAGCGGTCGAAGTCGCTGAGGTTCTTTCTCCGCTCGATCTGGGTGCTGCGCTTGAACCAGTTGGTCTCCTTCCACTTCTGGTCGATCTCGGACTTCTCCCAGAACTTCTTAACGGTGCCGGTACGGGCGCCACGGGGCAGGTCGGCGACGACGAGCGAGGAGAGGAGAACGTTGGAGAGAGAGACGGGCTGGCGGGGGACGGCGAGCTTGGCGTCTGAGGAGGGGCCGTCGACCAGAGCCTGCAATTTGATATCATGTTAGTCTTCCAGGTTTCCTATATCGTCTACGGATTGCGCGCTCGTGCGCCCAATTTCAAAAAACATTCGAATCGAATCGGGGGAGAGGAGGTGCTGTCGCAACGTACGCGCTTGTGGTCGATGATCTCGACGATAGTCGCAAGGCGGCCGGCGTAGGGGCCGTTGCCCTGGATGAGGACGACACGGCCGACCTCGACCAGTCGCCACTTAGAACCCTCGATGGTAGCGTCACCCATTTTGCTGGTCGGTCTGAAGTTGGATCGCGAAGTTAGAATCGGGGTTGCGGATTTCGTGGTGTTGCGTCTTGCTTGTCTTGGAGGGGCGCGTCAACTTACCAGACGTCGAAGATGTGCTGCTGGTGGTTAGTGGTGGATGGAGTTCGAAGTCACTTCGGCACACTTCTTTTTTTTTCCCTGGGAGGATGGTGCGACTTAGGGCAAGTCAGAAAGCCGCAATGAGACGGATTTGCTGATTAACCGAGCCGAGTCCCTCTCTTCCCAAAACGGCTTAGCTGGGGCGGTCAGTGGCTACTCACCGCGCCGGCTCCACCGACGACAGAACTTTTTTTCCCATTCGCATAAAGGTGCAGCTTGAAGAGCTCTCCCTTTGTTTTGTTGATCTTACTTTATCCTTCATCAGCTTCGAGGTGCTCAAAATTTGGCATCTGTCGACGAAGCTGCAACAAAACAAAAGGTACGTTCGCATCGCTCAACACACCCCTTCTGGAATGATGAGAAAAATTTGCGATTGATTTCTTTCGGTGGCTCTCTTTCGCCGGAGTGGCTATATCGTCTGAATATATGATATTCAATTCTTACATATTCTGACCTCCAAACCCAACAATACCTTTCTGTTCTTTGGAATTCCTGTCGGGATGCGTTTGACTAACTCAGCATTCAGGTATGGCCAGCAGTATAAACGACTTCATAGTAATGAAAAAAATGATATGCAAAAGTTCACGTCCGCAAACCTCGTGCTGCCCACTCTTCGCTGTCAACTGTGTAACGACATTCTTTCGTACCGCCATGGATTCACCACTGATCATTGGAAATGCATTTTGCTTCACAACTTTTGATATTCATCCTATGAATTCATGTATGCTGGTGCTTCCCTGCCAACGCCGATCGAAAATCATATTTATTCTTCCCATGTCTATTTTCCAGCCTTTTGCTTCAGGCGGAGCTCATCCTCCTCCTGGAGCTGCTTGTCGATCTCGGCGCCCCTGGAAGGCTTGTTACCGTGCAGCTTGGCCTGATTGTCACTTAGCGCTGGACACTTCATTCTCCGAGAGCTCAATACTACTTACGGGGAGTGTGGCGTCCTCTTTGCCGAGGCGGGTCTCGAGGGACTCTTCCTCGTCACCCTCCTTGTGCTTCTTCTCCTCAGCAGCGAGTCTGTTCGCGATGGACCGCTCATCCTCTAATTGATAATTAACAACTGAGAAATCCCGGCCGCTATACGGGCAACTTACTGGAATCCGTGGCCAAGTGGGAGTGCTCCTTGCCCTCTTGGAAACGCTCGGCGTTGTTGGTCTCCTCTTCCTTGGCGTTTCTCTGATCGCCAGCCTCGTAGACGGCGCTGTTGCCAACGTTTGAGTTTCCGGACATGATGGTTGTTTTGTTGGTGAGGTGGGAATTGGGAATTTTACGATATGTTTATTGCTGAAGAGCTGGAACGGTATGTCGTTTGATGAAGTGATGGATATTTTGATTGAGAAGAAAATAGAGAAGATTTTATGTACAGCAGATGAGCTTTCTATATGGGTGGGAAGGAAGCTGTCTTAGCTGCACCTGCGCAACAACCCCCCTTCGGTACATCTACGTCATGACGTCTCCAGCGCCGATTCTCAGCTCAGACGGGCAAAACTCCCTCCTACGTCATGTAATTGTCATTCTCCGCAAAAAGCCATGACAGATCTGCTCATGCCACATGGAAAATCGGCGATGCACTTGGGCGGCTCTGACTTTATGGTGCATCTTCGTTGCCAATTTTCAGCCCCGTCTTTGATGCTGAAGCTGAGTGAGCTTGAGTTCAGCTCATCGCCTGCCTCAAGCCTGGCTACCCCTGCTTCGCGGTCGACAACGAATGAGCGCGAAGGTTCAAGGTCGATATTGACCTAGGCACCTTATCTAACCTAGCTGTTGATTCTTTCAGGAAGCCTCTCATTAGTAAATAAAAGCGTTGAAGTTGAATCTACCTAGTGCATTGAAATCCTACCCCGCCAGTACCTCCCTACCTTGACAACCGACCTACCACTTCCGAACTCTATACTGTGCGGCGCCCTAGTCGCGTTCTGCACATTGTGTGAATCTAGGTAATAAGATCAATTGCCCTATTGCTGTGGAAAGGTGATATGACATAGTAGAGGACCCGTCGGAGCCGCGCCCCATCTATTCCGTTACGAAAAAGCCAAATCGATGCCCAAGAGGCTCCAGGCCCATCCAAATGACAGAGTGAGGGGTCCCAAGACGTGAAGCTCCATCGCTGTGCCTGCTGTGGCCGCTGAAAGGTGTATGGGGCCAGGGGTCGAGCGCGGCAGGCCCCGCCTGTGCGCTAATCCGGCATTGGCGTCTAAAACGATGCCGCCCGGCTAAATGACGTAAACCTGATAGCTCCGGAGCTCCAGAGCTCCACTGCCGACTTCATCGCATCACGCTGCACGAAGCAGAGCTCACGCAAGACAAACACACCACCAAGATAGCTCCTCAACGACCTGCCACAATGTTCGGATTCGTAAGGCAGCTCAATTGTACCCGATACAGATCAATTGATTGCTGACACACACTGTAGCGCAAGACCCTCGACATCGTCACTGTCTTCCACAAGGCGAGCTCCCCCGCCTCTGTGAGGGTTGTCAACCTCCTCAAGCAGGTGTCGGCCAACGCCGCTGCCGGCGCAACTGAGGATCAAGCCAGCGACCACAGCGTCCAAACGAGCCCCAAGAAGTCCCGCGCCGACTTTGAGCTCAACATCACCGAAGACCCCCCAACAGCCGACCAGGTCAAGACTATCCTGGAATACGTCGGAAAGAGCAAGATCCCATCAATCATCAAGGGTGCTTCCACTGAGCAGGATGCCCTGAAGAAGTTCCAGCAGAACGCTGAAGTTTTCCAAAGACCCGTGGTATGTGCTTCCTCCCAGAGCTCGTGGTCCTCTTCAAACCTGTGGTTCTTAAGAACAAACCTGGCTGACTGAGACATGCAGACTGTGGACTGGAACAACGGCAAGGCTGTCTCTGGTGAGAGTGAATCTGAGATTCTCAAGATGCTCAACGCCTTGAGCAATGAGAAGAGCTGAAAGGAGAACGCTATCTTAAAATGTTCAAAAGTAGCTCCTTTGTCCTTGTTATCAGATACCTGCGTCCTCCGTCCCCAAGCGGTACATTAGTTAAATGATGAATATACTCTTCTCTCTTCTATGTCGTCTAATGTCCCGCTCAATGCCTCCATCAAGTTCAACGTCAGCTAGTAGCTTCTTTTGTAGGCTGCCATCAATTCGTTAATACCTTGGCTACCGGACGAGAATCCAAGTTGAATTCCGATGAGTCCTATGGCCCCTGTACTAATGCTCGGCCACGCTATTGAGCAAAGACTCACCTCAAATGGAAGCATTGCTAGCTCAGTTTCCAGGACCAAAGATATCCACTCTATTGCTGATCCTCAATGAAAGGGTGCTGCATCAGCTACATTGATTTGTTTTCGGGATTCAAAGGGCAAGACTTGTTTGTCTCTATGGACATTACGATGAGGGACTTGATGACTTTGCCAAAGACAACCGACAGCTGAAAGAGGAGAACATTGGCTCTTTTCATGTCGAGTTCCTCTGAAAGAAGAAGGGGAAGATTCTGGTTACCCGCCTATGCAGCAAATCGCGTCTATACATCATGACAAGTAGGAGTCATCGCACCAAAAGAAAGAAACAGTAGGCCCATGCGATTACCGTGTGAGATCTGTATCTAGTATGCTTAATGGAAATGTAGCTACCAGGATCTGTGTTGCTGCCTGAGTCCTGCATCCTCCACTTCACCGGTCTAAGGGCTATCGCTGTGAAAGTCTGAAGATTTCGTTCAGCAGGTTGACGCTACTGCTGCCCTCGTCTACAGGCAGGTGCACCTGCCCATGATTCCTTCCCAACAAACGTCTCCGGCACCTGCCTCCTCCCTTCCTGCCTCTCTCCTGCTTCTATTTTTCACTTGCCTTGTGAGTCTTACCCTTTCCCTTTTCTCTTCGTCCCGACAACAACACCACCACCCACTACATCGCTTCTTCTTCCTTCCCACCACCAAATCAATCCCTCTTCTACTTCCAAATCGCCACCAGAAATATCCTCATATCCTCTACTTCGATTGCCCTCGAACCCGTCACCGCAAGCCTACCATCCCGTTGCCAAACGACGTTGGATACACGCAGCTTTGCAGTATGGCTTCCAACATCCACGGAGGACCTGGCTCCTTCCAAGATCAGCGCTTCCCCATGAACAACGATCACGATGGTCGCGCTACGATGGCAAACTCTATACCTACGAAGCCATCCTCTCATTACTACCCCAACGGTATTCCCAACGGCTACAAGATGGTCGGTGCCAAGGAGGGAGAGACGCCCAGACTTTACATCGAAGACAATCTTCCGATCGCCTTCTACAACCAGCCCACGAAGGAGATCAAGGCTATTTTTAGTACCAATAAAGGCGAGTTTCCCACTCGCGGTCTCAGCCACGTCCTCCCGGCACGCCAAATTGATTTATGGAGCGCTGAAGAGCTCCAAGAGAGAGCCAATGCCATCCGCAAGAAGCATTGGAGCCACATGAAGTCCATGCCGCAGCTGGAGTTCTGGGAAGACCTGTATGATTATTTCGACTGCTATGACATCTACTTCCAAGGCGCGATGAACCTGTGGAATCTGATGCTTCATCTCTACCACGAAAATCAATGTCTTGTTCGCAACCTCCATCAAGAAATCTTTGCGGAAGTTGGCCACTGGTGCGACGAATGGGCTGCAAAGAGCGAGAATAAAAAGAAGCTACTAGACTTCAAAGACTTCCAGGGCGACGTTCTCAATCTTCTGAGCTCAGAGGATCGCGTTGACCTCCAGGGACTGCCTCCCGTCAGCATGGAACTTGTCCGCAATGCTCTGAAGTTTCGACATGATCAGCTTCTAGGCAAGCCATGGGCTCAGCCGGCCTCGTATCCGCAAAATAGCCTCGGGTTCCAGTGGGAAGAAGGCACACTGCAACATTGGCTTGGTGAGTTGACTCTATTCCCTGCTGAAATCGCATCTGGCCTAACCTTGATAGCGGGCCAACCCGTTCAAGATACTCCCAGTGGACTTGCCCCGGCATCGACCGCCCCGAACCTCACAAAGGGCAACACCGACTCCCCGCTGTCCCAAATGAGCCCGGCTGCCAAAGCCTCTCCTCCGAAGCCATTGATCGTGAGCGGCACATCTAGGCAGAACCAACCCGACCATCTCCATCCCGATGTTGCTACGGCCGTGAATCACGTCAGCCACCCCAAGGGTATCTCAGCGGACAACCAGAAGACCTTTACGGCAGGTCACGGCCATGATGACGATGAGTCTCGTCAGTTGCCTGGTCATTCGCGCCCCAACGTTGTGCAAACGAATCAAACTCCGATATCCAGAGGAGGAAATGCAGGTCCAGGAGGGTCCACCTTCTACCCCCATGCCATTAGACCTGATGGGCATCCATTCAACACACCTTTCACTACAGGTCCTCATGGTATGCCTCAGCCCTATCTTGGTCCTGTCAGCCCCCCTCATGGCCTCCCTCAAGGGCACTCTTATGGATCCTCTCGTGGACCGCCTCGTGGCCCTCCTCATGGGCCTCCTCACGGACCCCTGGAGCCTCCTGCTGGTTCTGGAAATCGCCGTCACGGCCCACCCTCGCAGGTCATCCTGTCTCCTCAAAGACCTAATGACAACCGCTTCAACAACGTCGGCTATTTGGCGCAAATGCCAGGCTCTGTTCCCGTGGGCGGCGCACAGCGTGCTCAATCTGCTGCTTTTCCTGTAGTAGCACCTGAGCCAATGCCCTTCCAGAGACACAACAACAAACGGAATGCATCGACGGACCCCCATTTTGGTCAAGCAGGCGACCGCGGCTCGCAGATGGGCCATCCGCGATTTGAATCACGATTCAACTCGCGAGCTGCGCCTAACTCGAACGGCCCATCTCATCATCATCAGCAGCGCCCCCGTGGCGATTCAAAAGGATGGGAGAAGGTCCACAATGCAGACGACTCCATTCATGGGCCCGTTTTCCGTCGTTCTCCAACCAAGGAGAATCGTGCCCGTGAATTGTCCCGTTCTTCCGCGTCTAGACAAACTTTCACTTGCACAAATCAACATGAAAAGTTTGGCGATAATAGATGGGCCTACGCCCCTTGCGAGTGTCCTTCTTGCGAGGCTCGTGAGCGTTCCGTCTTTGTTCAGCTCACCTCTCATCTGATTAGAGATGACTTGTCTGAAAAGGTCCATGCTGTGATGTCTCGGTGGGGAGAGGTTGAGAAAGTCAACAGGTTGGCTCTCAAGGACCAGAAAGATTACCCCAACTTTTTTGTCAGGTAAGTGGCAACATTCGTCCAGGCTAGAAATTCTGCTGATATCAGGTGCTCTCGTTTAGATTCAAAGATGGATCTCACATCACTGAGATTGCATGCGCAAATGATATTGAGTGCGCAGAGCTTCACTGTATGCTTCAGACGCGACCTATTCACCACACGCGTTATGGAAGCTTGATGTATTCCAAGGCCAGCCGGGACGGGAATGAACAGCATAGAATCCCGAACCAGTACGAAGGGTCTCAGCAACCTCCTCGGGCTAGCAGCCAGGTTCCATTCACCCAGAGCCAGTCCCTATCTGCTCGTATGGACTCTCGATCTCAAGCAGTGTCCTTGGAACAGTACATGATTCCTCGTCCACCAAAGTCGCATGGCAAAGCACTACATGGTTCTCAGTCCGAAGCGGTACCTGATTCAACTGTTTCAATGCCCACCGCAGACCAAGTCACTCTAATGCAGGAGAAAACTGAACCGCTCGAAAACGTCAAGCCGACACAAGCCAAACCGACTGTCGATCTAGCCTTGCAACAGTCAAGTGGAGCTGAGTCACAATCGAAGCCGCCTTCCGAGGAGGTTATTCCCGACGAAGAAAAGACCACCAAGCATGACAGCCCTCGGATTTTCAACAGTCCATGCAAAGCCATTGTCGTCAACTTGCCGACAACACCTCAAAAGCTGACGAAAACCTCGATGGGCACTGAAGCACACGGAGAATCCGATTCGTCTGGCAAGGCTGTCTTTACTCCGGACGACAGTGAATCGGTAGCCTCTCCGGTCAAGAAGAGCTCTCTTGACTCTTCCAGTGACAAGGAAACCAACTTCGGCGCTCTTCGTGACCAGGGACCATCTGACGAATCTGCGAAGGTTATACCTCATGTCTCGTCTGTCCCGGAAGAAGGAGTTATAGTACCTGAGCCTCTTGCGCAAAGTCCCACGTATGGCAAGGGAAAGTACAGGAAGGTTTTTTCTCACAGGGATACTAGCAGTGTCGAGGTCTTCGACGTGGTGCCTCACATGCCTGGAAGAAGTAGCTCTTCGTTTCTCAAGACTTCGTTTCCTGACGAAGATGGGCCTAGCGATAGCCTTCGCTTGAAGTCTGGACATGCACTGGACAGCTTGATTGATGCGAGCTTAATCTCAGGGGTTCCAACGACCACCATGGCCGACGACGCTTCAAAGAAGAAGGCCAAGAGAAACAAGAAAAAGAAGAAGAAGCCGACATCAGGAAGCCAAGATGAGTCTCTCCCCATTGGCGACGCCTCGACTGTGGTTGCCGATGATAAGACTCTTCACATTCCGGCGGAAACCCAGACTGGTGCATCAGAGACGGCCGACATCATCACCAAGGCCAAGGATATCATTGCAACGGAAGCGTCTCTAGGAAAGTCAAGTCTCCCGGAGCCGCCTAAGAAAAGTTTTCGAGCCAACGCTGGCGGCTCACTTCGAATGCCGAAGAATCGCAACAAGCAGCCGACTCAGCTGAACCTTGCTGTACGAGAAGGTTCGGCTTCTGGAGCAGCAAACGTCGTAAAAGAGGTCCATGTCATCGACGGCGCTCTCCCATCTGCTGCGAGTACTTCAAAGATGAGCTTCACCACAGCCCAGGAAAGCCGCTCTGGCAACAGCTCGCCTAAGGTCTTATCGACCCCGGCAACTCCATCGTCAGCTAGGACGCTTGGACCGAAGTTTTCACCAGAAACGTCCATGGTTGAGAGCGAGGCGACGGCAAAGTCAACCATGCAACTCAATCCAAAGGCAAAGGAGTTTGTGTCGCCAGCACCGCGCCCTGTTGTTCATAGAGTGAAGCTGGCGCCAATCCCATTGGTACCGATCCCAGTGAAGACCACTCAGCATCAACGCAACTTCTCTCGCAGTTCGTCGGTCACATCCCGAACCCTCACTCCAGGACCAACTCCTCCCAAAGCTAAAGCTGAACAGTGTCAAGAAAACGGTGCTGGAGATGGCGTCGACAATGGAGAGAGTTCTACAACTGGTGAAGCGCCAATCCAAGATGAAGGCACACAAAAGTTGGCCCCCGAGAGCATGGCGAAGGCAAAGCAGGACCATCCCGCTGAAGGTGACAAGCCCGTCCCACAGCCATCAAATGCTAGCAGCGGCAATGGTCCAAAACAGCGTCCGAAGAAGGTCGCTAGCAAGAAAAAGCAGCAACAGCTTAGCAGCGATCGCGAACAGGACGGGCAGCAGCAACAGGGTAAGCAAGAACCCCAGAAGAACAACCCTTCGCCTAAGAAGCAGAATGTTCAAGGACACAAGCACGTCCAGCAACCGCGAAATGCCCCTGGGGCGCACAACAGAAAACTTTCTGTTGCCAGTAAAGATGACTTCCCGTCCCTGCCGCCTGCTCCCTTGCCTGCTTCCAGCCTACCTGCGACCAGCATCTGGGGCAAAGCGCGTGCAACATCAACTGCTACAAAGAGCAGCACCCTCCCCTCCCCTCCTACCAGCAGCATGAGCAGTGAGAACAAGACCAAGGACAAGCTATCCTTAAGCACGCGCCCTCAGGAGGGCAGTGCCAAGCATTAGAGAAGGATGTTCGATGTTTAAGAGGGGATGATTTGGGCGCGATACGAACAAATACGGAAGGGCGGAAGCAGATGTGACAGGACAGGGTTGACTAAAAGCTTTTCTGTAGATTGGAGAGCCTGTTGGGGATGTGGCCCGGAAGCGGGTGATGGGGAGGATTTAGATTCATTCCTTGAGAAGGATTTGTGTTTGAGTGATACCCATAGCTCGCGCTTGTGGCTTAGTAGTTGCGAAGAAATAGAATGAACATTGCTCGGAAAGACTCTCTATTTGATCGTTGATTGCTTGATGCTTACTTGGTTGGTCGCGAGCCCCGTCATAGGTGACCTGGAATGAACTCGTCTTCGCCCAGAGCCTCGTCTGATCAAGGGCAGAGTGAACATCCGGGGGGACGTGAACACTATCTAGCAGACCGTACATGGGATCGTCGTAGGGATAGTACCTTGGAAACACACATCACCCCGAATTGTGACCACGGCGCCTACTTCGTTCAATACAACTCTCGGCTCGTCATTCTCAACATGGTGATGGTACAAAGGGTCCTGGTTTTGGTCTATTCGTTCAATTGTCCCCGCCCAAATTTATACATTTATGCGCCGTTCTTCACCAGGGTCGTAACTGTGTCCTCAATCTGTTTGTCCGACAGGCCTTTTGCGGAGCGTGTTAGCTACTGAGCGTCTTCGAGAGAGATTGAAGGAGGGGGTGGTGGCTCTCACCTTCCAGCGATTGGCTCTTTTCAACGCCGAATTCTGTTTGAGCGAGAGATTCTAATCAGCATTCTCTATTCGTTCCGTATCATTGGGAGATTGTTTCTGACCGTATCTCGCGTAGATCTTGGGTAGTGTGCCGGCGGCCTCGCGGATGAGGATGGGAGTCTGGGGGTTGTTCTTCTTCATCGTGGGGTAGGCTCTTGCGACGAAGTTGCTATTGCAAGGAGGTTAGCGGTTTGGGAATCTCTGGTGGCGCGGTAGTGAAGTAGCGAGGACAAGTGGGAGATCGAGGCGAAGCAAGCAGTTGGTGTCGTCGTCAGGAGGTTTCGAGGTTGGTCTGTGTATGTGCTGAGCGTGTGTAGGGAAGTCGAGGAAACGTACCGGGTCGCGGCGCTGTGCTCGCCCGTCTGGCAGAAGAGGAAGCGCACCTCCTTGAGGGCCTTTGTGAATGCGTACTTGCTCGACATCGTGGCTGGGGCTGCGCGGAGGAGGTGCGGACGGGCGGCTGTAGGGTCAATTGGCGGGATTCGGGTCGATTGGAGGAGCCTCTTTGCTGGTGGACTGGCGAGGATTGAAGTTGACGAGATGCTCACGGTTCGAGGTGGGTCAAGGAATCTTGCATAAGACGGTCGGGAACTCGAGATGAGCATAAATGGTCTAATTGGGTTTTGCTGATTGGTGGGAGATATGGAGCTCTGGGTTTATGCATATGCACAATTCAACACCCCCGATCTAGGGGCCTTTTTTCGAGGTACGAAGCTACAAGACAGTATTACGTAAGGTTTCAAAGTGCCAATGGCAATTGGAAGGTAAGGTCGACCTGGTCAGTGCTTCCGCCGTCAACTTTTTTTCCCTCGACGGGTTGTCCCCGCTTATCTCCGGTTGGCGGTCGCTGTTTGCTCGCTGAGAGCTGCCGTGCGCCTACCTCCCAGTGCACCGTATGCGCTCGCTCGTGCTCCCGGGCCAAAAAAAGCTGCCCGCTCATCTTCGGACGTCCCAAACCTCAACGCATCTGCGTCTCTCAACCTCGCCTCAACCTCCCCCCTCCATCCCTCCCGTGCGTCTATCGAAAGGGAAAACCCTCTCCGCTCTAAACCACCTCTACCTCCGCGTGAATTGAGATTGCTTCTCAATCAATTCTCCGAACCCGAGTCTCCGACGACATATACACACGAAAAGAAAAGCTATAGCTTTGAAAGTCCGTCACAATGGCCCCCGCCAACAACTTCTTCAAGGCCGCGCGCCCTGCCTTCCGCCAACAGGTCTTCGCCGGTGCCCAGATTCGCAACGCTTTCCGCACCTCTCAGTTCCGCGCCCAGTTCCGCGAAAGCTCCAAGAGATGGCAGAGCTCGACCGCGTCCGCCGATGCCCAGGTTAGCTGGTTCAAGCGCATGTGGGACAGCCCCATCGGAATCAAGACGGTGCACTTCTGGTGAGTAGACTTTGCCCCGACATGCGATACAAAGGCTTCGCATGGTATTCTTTTGACATGTCCGCTGACTCCGATGGTTCCAGGGCCCCTGTTATGAAGGTATGAAGTCCTGATAGCTTGCTACCTCCGGGTATCTCCCTTGCAGATGTCCGGTCGCGATGTCGGAGGTCGATATAGACCGGACGAAGAAATACCCGAGAGGATTGGGAATGCCTCCATGGAACGAATGCTGACTGTCAACACAATACACAGTGGGCTCTCGTTCTTGCCGGTGTTGCCGACTTTGCCCGTCCCGCCGAGAAGCTGTCTCTCACCCAGAACGGTGCCCTGACGGCCACTGGTATCATCTGGACCCGTTGGTGCTTGATCATTAAGCCCAAGAACTACCTGTACGTCATGAAGGGTCTCATAAAGGGAACGTGTCAACTAACCTTTCCAGTCTTGCTGCTGTCAACTTCTTCCTCGGTGTTGTTGGTGTCGTCCAGTGCTCCCGTATCCTCATGTGGCAGCAATCTCAGAAGAGTGTTGGCGACCTGGCCAAGGATGTCAAGGAGGACGTCAAGGAGGCTGTCTCTTCCTAGACCTAAAATCGCAAATGCCGGTCAAAATGGGGTACAGTAAGGGGTTCATGGGAGGGACGAGGTAAAGTTGCAGCATGGTTCCAAACTGACGTACCAGCTGCGGCCACGATCCAGAAACAGTCGTGGAGGCAAGAGGAGACGGCGCAGAGCGCTTCGGACTACCCCCCTGTCATGTCATGTCATGCATCAGACACGTCACGCTTCTCAGATCTGGTTCCTAGACACTTCCTTATTCTAATTCTATATGCAACAAGGCCAATATTTCACGGCCCAAGAGTTTGTAAGAGAAAGAAAGCGAACCGCATTCTGACTCGAATCATGCGCTATGGTCGTTGTGCCGTAGGTGCTTTAGTTGAAGAGTATTTTCCGTATGGAAAAGCCAAATGGATCCCCGCGGTAGCATTCCGCGATTTCCCGCGTAGTAACGTGACCAAAAGACGGCCTGATAGTCAGCTTGACCAGCGTACCGCCAGCATGGATCCTCGACGGAAATCCCGAGACATCTGCGCCATTGTGTCATTCGAGCTCTGTGCGACATAATCGCCCAGGCACCCCCACGCAAGCTCCCGCAACCCGAGTCGAGGCCTTGATCGAACCCTGATTTCGATCGAGGAGATTTGGCCTGACCTCTGTCCGTGGAGTTTCATCTTATGACTAAGCAGCTCGACTATGGATTGCAATCTTGGCTGATGTGACGAGTTGGTGACCGGGCCGTGTACGGAGCGGAACCCCCCTGCATAGGTACCGAATCCCAACGCCGACGACATCTTCGGCAAAGGCGTCTCTCTGGGAATCTTGGGATGTCGAATCGCTTTGTTTGAAGTGGCGAGCTGCTCAGGCAGCAAAAACTGACCCCGCCGACGACGATATCAACAGGACGTCGAACTCCTACTTCGATGGACTACATGCCTGAAAGGGTCAGCTGCATATGCGGGCATATGGGAATCCGTTCAGAGGTCCTATCAACGGGCCAGACTTAGGGGCACTACTACTAGACTCCCCGAATCGGCGTGGCCGCCGAAGACGAGTAAGCTCGGCCGACCTGCCCTAATGTCATGAAACCCCTGGCCTTCCATCGCTTACGTCGAAATGCCTTTTTGTCTTTTATTTGTTTTACTCCCTATGTCTCTCACACACCGCCGCGACCGTCTAGGACTACAACCATGGGGCCATGAGGGCAAGATGGGAATTGTGAATACGGAACTTGGCCAATACGGGCAGCTAAGATACGCCAAGTGACGCATCAGTCCCGGGCGAAAGGTTCTCAGGGGCCCTTCACCGTCCTTCATAGAAAGCTGGGCATGTTTTCTTTTTCCGACTCACTTTCAGCTTGCATACCCGTACTTCGTACTCCGTACCCATAACCAACATCTGAGATCGCTCGGGTCAGGGTCTCTGTTCGACAATGAATCGAGCCAGCCCACATGGTGGTTGGAATAGGGCTGCCCACACCACGCTGGCAACATTGCTGGGTCGTTTGACTTGTGACTTGGCTGCTAAGCGCTTGAATCATTGGCCCGCAACAACATGTCTAGTTCCTGAACCCCCTCAGTCTCCTTCACGTATGTTACATGAGCTACTGCGTCGGACCCAGCATTTCGGCCTTCGAAGCCGACGATATGCATTCTCTCGGGTGTGATGTCATGGGCCCGACTTCGTTCCTGGATACCTGACGGGCCCCTCTCCGTTGAGGAACCTAGCAAGGCTGAAATGGAAAAGAAGGAGGGGGAGGGGTCTTTGTTGGATGGCAAAACGACCAAAAGACGAGTCGTTGGAAGCTGAGTGTCTGCAACAATGGCATGATTCACGACTCGGTGTCCCGCAGAGATCTACGTGTGCCGCCAGTCGGGCAGGATCTGATTCTTTCAAACCCGATTCAGTTACTGTACGGCATTTCTTCTTGTGCGCTGCGTGTGTTTTCCGAGGTAACGTTCATGCTGCCGGTTCGACAACTGTGGGAACCCTCTCGGAACCGGGAAGGTGAACCATTGTATCGGGATACCCTCCAACGTGGATCCGGGTTGTGTATAACAACCAGCTGCTGCGTCGTTGATGTGCTCGTCAATAAGTTGAATAAAGACCTGATCCATCAACTCAGACATGACGAATAGCAATAGCAACGACGGCACCATTGGCTTGGGGGAAGTGGTCTTTAGAACCGAGGAGACTTTTCGTAAACTAGTCGACTTGGCTAACACTACAAAGTCGCTTCATTTACAGACGCGAAGACAGATGAACCAGCTCCATTCCGAACTACACCGCACAGCCGCGCTATACAGATTAGTCTATCTCGATCAAATCTGCCACCTCGAGACATCCTCAACCACGTTGCGCGGCCTCGCGCCGGTGGACCTCAACATTTGCAGATATTCCTTCAGACGAGCCAACGAGACCCTCCGCCTCTTTGAACAGAGCCTGGTGACGGCGGGGCCGGCAGAGACATCCCTCGCAAGCCCCCAGTACCCGAAACTGCTCCTCGAAACCCACAGGCAGGTGAAAGCCCTCAACGACGAGGTCCGCGCCGACGTCGTGCTCGCTATCAAGCGCGTGCTCAACCAAGACCTCTTCAGCCGGGACACGCGCGCCGTCCAGCTGCGCGATATCGCCGTGGGGCGAGACCCGAGTCTCGACCACGATATCTGGCAGATTCGGATCCAGAGGGGGGAGGCCCCTTTGATTGCGAGCTTGCTCCTCGCGAGTGATGATACGCGTCATACCCCTGGCGTTGACGGAGTCGACGGCGTGTCTGTTACGGCCTCGTGCCTGCGGTTCCGCGACGCGAATACCATTGTCGAGACAAGGGCCTTGCCGCGGGATGACCCGGATATATGCCGCAAAACGCTCAAGCTCGCTAGCTTGTTACACGCCACGCGGTCGCCGTACCTTCTCCACTGCACGGGTTTCCGGGTCCTCGCTCAGAACCGGGTTCAAGATAGGGAGCGGGCCCGGGATCAGCGGCTGGAATACTTCTACGACGCCTCCCCGCTGCACGGCTGTCGCAGCGCCGAGATCCACAGACTGTCAGAGCACCTCGGCTCGCCGACGGGCCACTTCACGCGCGGGCGGCGGGAGGCGGCGGCGAGGATCCTCTCGGACAAGATCCGATTTGCGGGACAGCTTGCGAGGGCGTTGAGCGAGCTTCATGCTGTTGATCGGGTGCATGGCGCCGTGCGTGCCGAGAATGTGTGGTTTGGGGTGAGGGGCGGGGAGTATGAGGCGAAAGTGTCGGTGCCGTTGCTTGTCGGGGCTGGGTTCGAGGAGGGGGAGGTGAGGCGGTGTCGGGTTAGTGGTGGTGGTGAGGATCGTGGTGATGGGGGAGAGGCGCTGGAGGAGGGTAAGAGGAGGGATATACTTGCGTTGGGGGTCTTGTTGCTGGAGATTGGGCTGGGGCGGTCGATTGCGGAGGTTGCGTTTACGTCTGCATCTGCGACCTCGTCGTCGTCTACGGCCTCATCTTTGGGTGGTGCTGGTTCTGGTGTTGGCGTTGGTGCTGTTTCTGCGGCAGAGCATCTTGGGACGTTGAATACGGTCATGGGGGGGAGGTATACGGCTGCCGTGCGGGCGGCGTTGGATCCGCGGCAGTTGGCTGTCGCGTTCTCGGCCATGGAGGCAGGAGGTGGAGCAGCAGGAAGCGGAGGCGGCGGCAAGAACGAGGACGAGGACGAAGATGAGAGTGTGTTTGGTAAGAGTAGCAGTTGTGGATTGGATCGGGCTTTCAGGGGAGTAGTTGTCGATGAGTTGTTGGGTGTTGTTGGGAGAGGGTGAGGAGCAAGGAGGTGATTCCCTGCTTGCTCCGGATGGTGGGGGTTATTTGGGCTGGGACGGACTGGTGTGATTACATTGTCCCTAGCTTCCTGATCCCGCAGGTCAAATGCGATGCAGTTCGTGTCAGCCGAGAGGCCATCGTCATTTTCCGTGTATTTCGATAAGTGGTATCTTAAATGGTTGATTCCTCACTCGGATCATGATCTTGAGCAGAACTTGAAAACCTATCACGGTCACTCAGTGAGCTACTAGGGGATAACGTCACGAGTCTAGATGCACTGTGTACTTTGGGTCAATTCTCTACTCATTATTGTTCTAAATCTCTGCGTACTGCGGAAGCCCACGCTCAATCCTTTCAACACGATCGTTTAGCCGCGAACTCCTCCAAACCGCTCTCCAGACTGTTCCCCAGCGACGGTACTCTCTTCACCTTCTCCCGAAAAGAAGTCCAAGCACCCTCCTTTGCGCTATCACTCTTAGTGTCCTCGTCTTCCTTGCTTGGTCCACCAGCTGCTGAGGAAGCCTTTCCTGATGCAAACCGCTGAGCAATTTGTCTTGAAAACTTCTCAACTCTTCTGCCCCTGGTGCCCAGACGGCCATAACTCTTTCGCAGACGTATCTCAGCTCTCTGAACTGGCTCCTCCTAAGAGCTCATCTCAGGAGCCGGCGGATCCTCGCATGCTGCATTCAATTTACTCGAAATAGGCCATCCATATTCCCGATGGATTTCTCTCATGTTTCTAGAATGCATGACATGTGCTTTGTGCTGTGCCTCTGCCTCGGCCTGGCGCTTCTCCTGGGGAGTTGGATGGATATCGCAATCCTTGATGATGAGGTCATGCCGTCCCCTTGCGATGAGGAATGGTTTCTCCATTTCGTACCTCTCTTGGCCAACTTTCCACAACTCCTTCTTCTGTTCTTTGAGCATCTTTTCAGTCGAGTAGGTACGCTGCTGCTCGGGCTCCCCAAACTCGCTCTTGATCCAGACTTCGAGTTTGTCCGACCCTCTCTCCATCCAGTCGACGGGAAACCAACCTGCAAAGTCCTGCAGCCAGCTGGCATTAGGATAGACGATCAGAGGGTGTGGAGGCTTCGGAAGTCGCTGCATTGGGCTTTTGTCTAGGACGTATCTCCTGGGAATGGGCGGGGCGTCTGGGTACACTTCGTCGAGCCGTCCGTGCATGCCTTGATTGCTCTGAGACCATATGACACAGCGACTGTAGTCAAGAAGAACGGGGCGGACATTTTCTAGGGCCAGTTGGCTCTTATTGCTGAAGGTAAGGAACATGTTGCGCGGTGCAAAATCGTTGAACATTGTGACGTCAGCGCCGACATGCTCGAAGCAAACGCCGCCATGAACGATGTGCTTGAGAATCTTCAGTCGGGATGGCACATCCCTCAACGAGAGTCCTCCTCTCTGATTACTCGCAGAATCGGGGAAGGGAAGCATTGCCTGGCCAGGGATCAGGAATCTGCTCTCGTATCCATTGCATATCTTCTCAAGCGAATGGCCTTGAATGTGCTCGATAAGCACAGCGCCAGCACATCTCCATCGACGTGTCTGGAATGATGGGGAGCTGCCAGATCCAGCTGATCCGATGACGTGAAACTTGATTGCCCAGCTGCCGTAGTACTGTGGTACCATATGGGGATTGCCCGTCATGCGTTGGTCGTAGAAATACTCGTAAGCATTAGCCTCCTGGCTCAGGAGCTGATTGGGAAGGTCGCTTGGCGCGTGCTCGCGCAGAAAGATTTCCAGCTGCCGAGGGAAGAATGCTGAGTCGAATACTTTGAGCACAACCTCTAGTTCGCGAGTGAGAGGATGGTGAGCATTACGCCTGATAGATGGCACCTTGATGATCTTGCACAAAAGGACTAGGACACCACCCTCGATACCACCCTTCAAGCATTCGATGATCTCGACTTGCGCTTCGTGGTCCGGCTGGTCGATGGTTGGGTCGAAATTTGGGAGGAACCACTCGTTGGACTCGGGGCGGATTCCTGGTCCGTACTCTGGAAGGCCGTACGGTATACCTGGCTCTCGAGGGCAGAGCGTCAATATTGTTCCGGGCCTGTAACGCTCAAAGCCTTGCTGAAGGTTGCGGAGTTGCTCGTCACCGAGGTCGTCCCTCGGCATCAGGGGCGGCCAAGACATGCTGGAGATGGGTGAAACGTGGCAAGGAAGAAGGGGAAAAGAGGTTTCTCGAGATGTACTGGAAATCGATGGGAAGCTTTTGAAGAAGCTCGTCCGCAAAGTGATTGATGGAGTAAGTAGGGGAGAACATCCAAGTAGGAAGGAAGGTGCACAAAAAGTTGACACCACCTCCCTTAAGTACCTAGGCAAGGTAAGTTAGACAGGGTAGGTACACCTTGTGGTGCCTGAAGGCAATTACGGTGGTAGGATAAGGTAGGTGGGTGGGTACCTTACCCTGGGCCTTCCAGTTTGGAAAGAGCAGGAGACCGCCTTAGAGAAATAAGGTGAGGAAGATGGCCATTGGTGGATCCGAACCGCTTCGCTGGGCTACCTAGTGGTCCCTACCTCTGAGGTAGTCGATAAAGGTAGGCACCCGAGGTGAGAGCGGCGTGATTGATCCGGAAGCTGAGGCAGCTAGGTGTTTGCGATGTGCTCCAGCCATTTCTGGGTGGCGGGCTCGATGCGCGAGATGCCAGATTTTATTAATGCTAGTATCAATAATAGTTCGGTCTCTTTCAGGGCGTACTCCGACATACACTGATACTCTTATTATAAGCAGTAACAGTAAGCAGTAGAAGTAGATCTAGAGCGGCAGAATATCTTACACCCGCCTGACACCTTTGGGGTACCCGGTCGGTTGTTGGAGTTCAATAAGGTAACATGTTATTCCAGCGTGGGGAGCATGGAAGGAGGACCACGGCGGGCAGCCTGTAAGAAAGTTTTCCAGCAAGTGCATGCGCCTCGCGGCCGCCTCAGACATAACGGAATTCGACGACAAATTGAACCATGGAGCCTTGGGGGATCGATCAACTACGAGGTGGTTCTTTGGGTATCTAGGGCTATCTCAGCGATATTGTGATACCTAAGACTACAATGATTCTGGAAGCTCCGGTGAATGACTATGGGATTCAGGAAGCAGAGTAAGGTAACGGGGGAGGGAGGGGGGATGAGATCAGCAGACTGACAGATTGACAACGTGGCCCCTGAGACCTTATCCAGACCGAATCAGATCAGCATAGACAGATCCATAGAATGGAATCACCCGGGATCTTAGAAGAAAACTGCTCAAAGTTGGTGACGTTTTCCATGTCTATTCTTGTGTACGACCAGTGTCCATCGAGGTCCCCTGGCGATGGCATCCATTAGACAGTTATGTCAGAAGATGGCATCCCAAACTCGACGGGTCAACCGTGGAAGAATAATATTTGATAACCATCATGTATCATGAAACTTCTATCATCATACCTCGTAAATATCTCATCTAGATCGTACACTCCACCAAAAAACACAGGAGGCCCCGCCTATCTCCTTTCCTTATGCTCTCCAAACGCCAGCTCTTCATCCTCGCGACCCTTCTTCATCTTCTCCACAGCCCCTCTCCGCCTCAACATATCCTCTTCCTCGCCGCCGGGCACACCGCCCCGACTATTCCGCTTCATAATTGCATCCTCCTCCTGTGCGACGTACTTCATCGGCCGCTTTGAGCTCGTGGCGTCCTTGTCGCGGAAGACGAAAACATCGTGGTTGTCTGCGAAGAAACGGTCCACGTCCTCGAGGGAGCGGTCTGCTGTTTCGGGGTAGAAGAGATAGACGATGGGGATGAAGGAGAAGTTGAAGACTGTCCAGATGATGTAAAATTGCCAGCCGAGGGAAGAGATGCCTGGTGGTGTGATCTCGACGACCTGTTGGTGGGTTAGGTCTCTATGTGTTTTTATTTCCATTGGAGGAGAATCGCGGGAGACGTACCATGAAGTTGACAATCCAATTCGTTGCGGTGCCGAGAGCGGCTCCCTTTGTACGCATGGACAAGCTATTGATCTCGGTGGGGTACAACCAAGGCACACCTGTATTGAATTAGCAAACATTGACCCAAAGACTCGGGAAAGGACCTGACATACCCTGCCAGCAAATGCCAAAGAAGACATAGTACAAGAAGAAGAAGGCGATGGAAGCCTTTGCCCACTGGGACTGCGTCTCTGGTGCCAGGCCAGCCATTTCATTGTAACGAATACAGATGGTAATGACGGCGTAACACATGAATTGACCGAAGGCACCGTCTGTTTGCAACAATTAGTTGTCCTGTGCGTATTCATCGGGGCTGAATTCGACGTTTCCACAACTTACACATCATCATCTTTCGCCTTCCCCACCTCTCCACGTTGGGAATTCCAATCAAACTGAACAAGAAGTAGCTGACGGAGTTACACGCAGCCAGTAATCTCGCGAGTTTATTGTCCAAACCGACGGAATTGATGAGAACGAGAGGCAAATAGTAACTTGTGACATTAATCCCGGAAAATTGTTGCATGGCCTGTGTTCCACACCCTAGGAATATACGCCGGATGGTGGACGTTCCCGATGACTCGCCGGTCCGGCCCCGGAGGAGGTCCGACCAGGGGACGGTATTCTCTCTTTCGTAGTTGATGGCCCACTGGATGTCCTTGGACTGGGTCTGAATATAGGCATCATCGACAGGCATGTCTTCGAGATCGGCGAGGATCTGCTCGGCTTCGGGAACGCGGCCTTGTGCCATGAGCCAGCTGGGGTTATTGTCAGTCATAGGGGTCCGACAGGGGATGTTTATGGGGACTAGGAAGGGGACGTACCGAGGTGACTCAGGCAACCAGGGAACGGTGCCGTAGAGGATGAAGATGAAGAAGAACTGGAAGGCCAGGGGAACACGCCATGAGATGGAGCCGGTGAGGTATGAGAAGCCAAACGTGACCCAGTTACCTGCCCGTCGTTAGTATCTGGCACCGAAGAACGAGGCCCGGGAGATATCCAGACAGGAAAAAGAAGGCGAGGAAGACATACTCAGCGAGAACCCAAAGATGTTCATAATCATCTCGATAACAATCAACTTGCCCCTCCAACTCGCCTTACTCGTCTCGCCTTGCCACACGGGCGCGGTACTGGTATTGATACCGTTTCCGATACCCGCCACAACGCGGCCGACAAACATTTGCGGGAGGCCAAAGGCGGCGGTCTGCAGGATGGCGCCGATGGACATGATTGTGGTGCCGACGAGGATGGTGTTCTTGCGGCCGAGGCGCTCGCCGATCCATATCGTTGAAATTGCGCCGAGGAAGCAGCCAATGTCGTAGATTGCGGTGACGGTGGACTGGAGCTTGTCGTTGCCAACGATGCCCATCGTTTGGAGGAAGTCATCTGTTACGATGACGCCGCCGAAGACGCCTTGGTCGTAGCTCGTGGGTTGTTAGATTGGAAATGCTGAGAGTGCAGGGCTGGAAGATGAGTCTCGGGGGGGGGGGGCAAGAGATTGAGGATGAAAAGAATTGGTGAGTGGTGGATGGTGAGCTGAGGTGAGGAGGAAGGAAGGAGCAGACGTACCCGAAGAGTGTCATGTCTGTCGCGCAGGCGATGGTGACCCAAAAAGTGAGCCACCCGCCCTTCAAGCCAAACCAACCCATGATGAAAGGCTCAGTCTGAGCAATCAATCAACTTCGCGTTGTCGTCAATTGGTGAGAGTGGTTGTAGTGGATGAGAGGGAAGGTGAAAGAACTGGTGAAGAGCGAACGGTGAAGCGGGCCGAGCGTCGAAGAATTAGTGCTGGAACCCGTGCTGTGTATTCCCAATCCCGCTGAATACCAAAAATATCCTGGACTAGAGTAGAGCAACAAAGACTTGGCTTGGACTGCAAGTAGATGGGAAAGCGGCAACAGACGTAGTCTATATAGAAAGCCAAGAAAGGAAATACATACATCGAATGCCTCCAGCTAGCGGCATCATCTCTCCCGTGATGGGGACCCCGTCAATTAGTCCCGAACCAACATGGGGCCGGGGCACGCCAGCCAACCCCAGACAAGCTCTACGAAGAACAAGGCGTCGCCGCTAAATCTGTCGCGGCTACCTGCCCAGAGGCACTCTTAGTGTGCTTGTCGCCAGTCTGTGGGGTAATGGGTGACGGATCGAGTGGTGTTAGGGAAAGGCGACTGACTAGTGAGGATAACAAAACGATGTCATCGTCATGGTGCAGCGGCGTTAGTGACCTGCGTCCCAGGGATCTCGGGTATCGGTTCTACCCACGGCTGCCAAGGTAGAACATGCAGCTTCGGCAGCAGCAGGGCGGGAAACCAAGGTCAAGACCCATGGTTGGTCCCAGGGCGCGATGACCGCTCGCTGGTATCAACGCTGATTAGGCCGGGCCGACTCGAACGATGGGAATGGGTGGATGGATGGCGGGGAATCAGTCAGCTCCAATGCATCAAAGACAGACTCGAGGTCAGTGGTCCATTTGGCCGCGGGTGGAAACAGGGATATTCAGAGTTTCGGGGTTGAGCCCGACCGGCTGTGTGCGAGCTGTCTTTCTGTATGCATGTTTCTCTTGTCTCTACTCTCACTGGCCGGAAGGATGGCATGATGGTTCGGCCAAACCGTAGTGTACAGTCCACGACGCGAACTGAGTCAAGAGTCGAACCAAAGCATGGCAGCAGGGGAAAAGATGGAAAAGCATGGAGATGGAATCTGCACCCCGCATACTTGATCACCGCTACGTACCCACGTTCTCCTTCGTCGTAGGTACATGTACTCGAGGCAAGGCAAGGCAACGCAAGAAGGCGCGCTGTTGACGTTGACGTTTGACGTTGGCGAAGGAGCAGCGATGACGTCGCTTGGTGGGGACTCCATCCGCGGCTCTGAAACGGGCGAGGCGTGCCGGGGCCATCGCTGTAGCCGAAGCTTAATTCCGTCGATCCGTGGCGTCCTCGCCTCGGCGGTCAGCGGCGCGAGTACATACCTGTCTTAGTCAACCATCTTTCACAACCTACCTTACCTAGGTACCTTACCTAAGGAACTAAGTTCCTTAACAGGACAAAATCAGGACAGTACCTTGGGAACCAAGCTTATAGTTCGTTTCCTGCGCATCGGTTGGGTTTTGTGATTACGCTGAACAATGAGAACGCCCAACGAACTTGGTCGAATTCTCCGATTCATCCATGCCCCCATCCCCGCCCTTCCGCCGTCACCTCCCACCATGGCACGAGGCGAGAACAATCCACGCGAATCTTGCATTGCTCAAACCCCAATGAAAAATCGCGTCCCTGAGAGGCTCACGGGGCCCGATCGGACCGAATAGCAAAGCCCACAGCAGACGATGCGTTTGTTACACTATCGCGATGCGGGGACTCCACGTTGGCCGCTTTTTTCTCCCTCTTCTCCATTTCCATTTACAGATAGACAACTTCTTTCCTCCTCCTCCTCCTCCTCCTCCTGTCAGTCTGATGTAATCTCTCCTCCCCCTTCCAATGGCCCCGCCCTAGTGCCATTGTAACGACGTCTCATTCCAAACATATAAACTCCTAGGTGTCTACCTACCTCCTGACATCGGTGGTAACCTCCATATAAAGTAGCTGTCAACCCGACAAGGTGAGAAAGGAGGCTCTGCGGAGGAGGGAACATGGCTGCTCCCGCGGCCGTTGGCTCGGAGAGTCTCCGGCCCCTCGGACGTTGAAGTCGCAACCCGTTCCCTTCCTTGCCCCACACACGACACGCCACGCCTAGTATCGGCGCGCTCGCGGCTGCGGCCTTCATCAATTCGATTCGGTTGAGCCGCCGAGCGTAAGGCCGAGCAATGCAGTAGACTTGTTGACTCGTTTCATTCAAACGGCCTTCTCGCCAAGACACGTAGTAAAGACTCCTCTGAATTCGATTCCGCACATTATTGTAGAGGGGAGTGACGCATCCTCGTCTTCCAAAACCCCCGGCTATGTCTTAACAACGGCCTCTTCCTCTTCATGACACCTAACCCATTACGATTACTCCTGGCCATCCTCATCGTCTTCAAGACCCCATCGGCATATAGACCCGCCATCACATTGATAAAAATTCCTCTACGCACTCCGCCGGGCCGATAAACCCAACATACCCATCCGGCCTCACAACCACCATCCCGGCCCCCTTTTCGAACCCATACCGCTTGTGCAGCACCCCGTCCACGTCCTTGTAGCCCCCCTTTCCCACTGTAGCCCCGGCGTAGATCTTGACGACACCGTACTCCTTGAACCTTCCGTCCGTGACAATCTTCTCCTCCGCCTTGTCCAAATTCTCCTCGTCGTCCGCCGCACCGCCTGCAAACAGGAAAATCGTATGGTCCCGCGCGCTCGTCATCCCGAGCAACCACTTGCCCTTCTCGCCCCTCTCGTCCGTGACTTGCCCGTCCGGCGCACGCCAGCCGCCCCTGACAGGCCCGTCGAAGCCGACTGCCGTGCCGACGATGGAGCTGTTGCGGTACTTGATGGCCATTTGCGAGATAAACGTGTACAGCGACAGCCGTCTCGCCTTGTTGCTCCAGATGCGGGGCACGATCCATGGCATCAAGCAGTTCCGCACTGTTGTGAAGATTGTGTTCTGCGACGACACCATGGTGAACATGCGATCTGTGCCCGTGAGGAGGTGTTGCCCGACAGGGTGTCGCTCCTCGTTGTATGTGTCTAGGAATGCCTCCTCCTTCTCGCCGCGGATCACAGCCGCGAGTTTCCAGCCTAGGTTGATAGCGTCCTGGATGCCAGTGTTCATACCCTGACCACCCGCAGGGGAATGGATGTGCGCCGCGTCGCCGGCCATAAATAGACGCCCGTCGCGGTAGTTATTGACACCACGGCAGTTCCACCGGAAGCTCGTCAGCCACAGCGTCTCTTCAATCTCCAACTTCTTCCCCATCATCTCCTCCACAAACTCTTCAATCTCCTCCTTGTCCGGGTCGCCCTCGCGCTTGCTCCTCGATGACCTTTCGCCCACGAAGCGGACCACGCCGTCCTTGAGAGGAAAGACGACCATTACCCTACTGCCGAGAAAGAGGGAGACACGCTCTGTGTCGTAGTCGCCTTTCACTTTTGCGTCGCAGAGCATGAACTGCTGAGGATATTGCGCACCCTCAAACGTCACGTCGGCGCTGTGCCGCACGACGCTATGAGCGCCGTCGCAACCGACAATGTACTTTGCCCGCACAACCTCCTTCGACCTGCCTTTTGTTAACGTGGTGCTCGCGCGGACGCCGTCTTGCTTGATATCATCCGCGGACACACCCCGCTCCACAGTGCCGCCATAAACCTCCAGCTGCCGCAGCATGGCAGCCTCGGTGTCGACCTGGGAGATCCACAGCGGCAGTCCGAAGCGGGTATCGTCGAAGCCGAGGTCATCGAAGGTGCCGGTGACGAGATGGCGCTTGTTGCAGTAGATGTTAACGCCGGGTCCCGCGGTGCCCTCGGCCAGCATGGACTCGGCGATGTGGGGGTGGCGGTGGAGGAGCTCCTGCGAGCGCGGCTGCACCGCCAGAGCGCGGGACTTGTCTGACGGGACAGGGGCCTTGTCGATGATGCGGAAGGGGATGCTCTGCACCGAGAGCTCGAGTGCGAGAGTAAGGCCCGTGGGGCCGGCGCCGATGATGAGGACGTCTGTTTCGCTCATTTTCGGTAGTGACGATCTCTTGGTTGACGATGTCAATGGTCTTTTCTCTGATGGTGAATGCATTGGTGTATTAGTGCTTCTGAGTGGGCAATGGCAGCAGACGCCGACCGCGACGAGGCAAGGCGGGATGCTACTTTAAATAACATCTTTTTCCCGCGTAAGTTCGTTTGGTTCATACTGCGGAACATCCAGGGGACTCAATATGCTTCAAAGAGGACCAGAGTTTCCATGCCCAACATCAGCTGAACGAACACGTCGGCACCTCGCCTTCACAAGCTCCGTGCTTCATCATAACCGCGGACGTCACGTTCCTTGCCAGCTTTTCGGGGGATATATCCATGGGCAGGAAGTAAGACGGGTGAACACGCAATTTGATCGAGTTGCAGGGTTGTCCACACAACGCATGTCAAGGACAGATACGGGAACCGGGGCCAGATTGAGGCCGGTCGCACGCGGGGCAATGGGGTCGTGACATTCTTCTAGCTGGCGATGGCGTTACTTTGAACGGTAAAGTGTATTGTGCCTGGACTTGGCTGTCCTTCCTGGGCCTACTTGAGACGATGAATGCGTTGGCTGGGTGTGGTTGGAATTGGCTTGTGGTCGGCGGGCGGGAGTTGCAGCTGGGATCTTTGGGTGAGGTGAGTCACGTGAGGTATCGGAGGTCGGTCGCTTTGACTCCCGATGCTCCGACATTGTGGGTCACCCGGACTTGAAGAGTGTGCCAGACTGAAGGCAACGATCATCATCTGGAGGCTGCGGCGAAGATCCAACGGGGATCTTTTCTTGTCGATTTCGGGCAACGCAGAAATTGATTACAAGTCCAGTCATGGAAGTCCCTCACTTGAATTTTTGTAAAGCAAGCAAAATCAGTATTCATGCCTTTGAGGGTTTATTTGGGGTGTTTCAAGACGCATTTCTCCAGAGGTTGTTATGTGGCCCTCGTTCGTTGGGGAAAATGCATCTGATGTGGTGTCTTGGCAAAAGTCAAACGAGATAGACTTTGGATTCTCGAGATAAGGGCCATTCAGAGCCCTCAACTGAGAGTCTGCCACTTACCCTCACAGGACGAACCATTCGGAAGGAGAATAATCTCGGCTCCGACATTTACTTAGATATCCATATGAAAGATCTCTCTTCGGCGCCTTGAAAAGTCGCATTTCAATGCTCAATGCAGACGTAAAGTGAAGAAGGAGATGCAATTCGTTTCAGCTTGGAAAGTGAGAAACGGGTTCAGAAAAAGGAAAATCCAGAACTTGCTGGGCTTGCGGTGCAGTGAGTTGAACAGTGGGTGCCAGGTCTTGATTTGATGAAAAAGGTAGGAAAGCGCGAAGCGAGGGTGGCGGTGACTCTACACTCACCTACTACACCTGGTGCACAAGGGCCGAAACCTCGCCAATGCCTGACAACTGTTTTACGACCGAAGAGGTAAGCATATTTTAATTACACCTTTTCTTTTTCTTTCTTAATTTTAGAACAAAGAGATAAAGAACTATGCAACACATTCCACATAATAGACTTTCCAATAAGGAGTACCTTACCTTGTGAGCAGGATAAGAGAAGAAGAGGGATGGAGAAGAAGGATTGTGATTGCTACCCTTTACATCGTCGACAGCGAATGTCTACGTCCAATAACTTTCCTCAGCGACATCAAGAAGATTCTTCTTCGTCTCTCCGAATCGGTGATGCTTCCTGCAGATCATGCGTCCAATAATTCCAAGCCAAGAGAGCATGCATCGTGGCCTTGGCGAGAACCGGAAGCACGTGCTCCTGATGGATGAGATATCCGTTCGAATTGCCGCTGTTTTGCACCAGGTCTATGGAAAATCTGGCCCCTGAGGGCTGGAGTCGAATAATCAGTTAGCCTTTCACTGACCGCTGAGCTTTCGAAAAGGGAGTTCTCGGCCTACTTTCTTAGCTCGGTTGAAGTGATGGAACAACATCACGATCTGGGCGTTGGTGTCGTCCCATACTTTGAACTGCGTTGGTCCAGACGTCAATAATGTTTCTTCAGATCCTGGAAATAGTTGTGGCTCATGAACTGCAAGGATACTAACATCCTCAGTCCTGTACTTCACGGGAGTCCCGGCCTCTTCTTTCCACTCCGTGTACTCGGGCGATCCGACCCAACTTCGCCGGAATTTGAGACCGATTTTGACTGTGTCGATTGTCTTCTTGTCTTGACGTTGGGAGATCACGTCCGCGAGTGAGTGAAAGCGTGCTTTTTCTTGATTATTAGGGACTGGGGATCCATGAATCCCTAACCTCTCAGAAACTGAGCCCTGTGTCCCAGAGTACTTACTAGTCGCCTCTTCAGCCGGGCAATGCCGCATCTCAATTGCGAACTGCGGATCGCCCCTTGCGACAACCGCAGCATATCTGCGGAATCCTCTCTCGGATTCAATTTTTGTAAAGATTATGGCATCGCTTGAACCGTAGGGTATCAGTGGGAAATAGACGAGGACCAGGGCGTCGTCTAAATTCAGGGGGTATTTCTCCGCCACTGCGAATATGTACTTCTTACCGAGTCGCGAAAAGAGCCCTGATTTTGTGTCGGCTTCTTTGAGCCGGAATATGCCTCTGGATGGTACTTAGTAGCAGCACTTATGGAGGGACTGGTTGGTGAGGAGGACGTGGGATGGGCTTACAGGCGACTTGGGATTGGAGTATGGTCCATGTTTGGTCCAAGATCTATTCTTGGTCGGGCTCACGCACCAACATTGATTGATCTTATTATGGTTCTATGTCTTCATTATATTTATCGCGGTTTCGCAATTGTCTGTTCATGTGAGGTTACCGTCCTCGCTCTCATGTTCTACAAAAGAGCGTTACTGTGCGGCTGATTCAAACCATCTGAGGTATGCTGCCCTGAAAGAGCGCCTTGCCAAGACGCTATCCCGCACGTTGTGTCTCTCCCCAGCCAGTCGTTTCAACATGTGTTCTCCCTACCCCAATCGCTATCACACTAAGATTAAACCAATATACCGACTGTGTGGAGCATCACTTTGCCTTGCTTCATCGTGCTTGAAAATGTCTTTTTTCCATCACTACATCAGGCTGACTCAACCACTCATCGAACACTCTCACGTCTCTTTGACGCTTCAATTAGAATCCACCTCCTCGGTCGCTATCAGAGGCTTCCGTCCATAAATTACATATCCATTCCAGTAGGCATGAATGCTCGTGTCAAGCAAGTCCTTTCTCACCTGAGCACAGAAGACTAGCGTCTCTTCCTTGGACCACTCCATGAAACGGGTAAGCAACCCTAGTGTCATTCCCTCAAGACCACCCATCAACATGGATCGGTTCCATTCGCCAATATCCTTGAGCTTCTTGTCCTTGGGCCAGTTGGAGGATGGGAACTTGACGGGAGTCACCACGACCTCCTCAAAACCTGCTGCCTCCATCTTGCCGGGCAACTCAAGCGTCTTGTCTACCGGGCGGTTGATCTTGTTGCAGGCGTCGACCAGAAGACCCGACCATTTGGCAAGCGCCGAGTCCTTTCTGAGCGTACCGTCGTCAGAAACGGGAGGCCAGCAACTGTCCTGAATCTCAAAGTAGCCGCCAGGCTCAAGGTGGTCATACGCCTGCTTGATAACGTTGTCCCAGTCGGAGAAGCTCGCATTCATATTCCGACCGAGGATGAAATCAAAGGGCTTGGACCAGGTCCATTCCTTTTCCAAATCATCAACCTCAAAGCTGCAATTGGGAGGCACGAATCCGGGCTGAATAGGACTGAGGTCGACGCCGAGAACAGTCGCTTCTGGGAATGTCTCGGCGTAGTCGAGAGCCCAGACTCCCGTCCCGGTGCCGAGGTCGAGGATTCTCTTGGCTGTAGAGCCATCGTTCTTGGGACACAGACAGAAGGCATTGTCCAGGATCAGCATCCAGATGTGGTTGACCATGTCCAGGCGATCTTGCTCTCGCGCGTCATTCGGGAAGGCATACTTGCCATCGCTCATGCGGTGGTAGGTGCGACCATTTTCGCGGCGGTAATCCAAGATGCTCGATCTCAGAGAAGCGCTAGATTCGTCTGCTGAGAGACCTCCAACGGAAGAGGCGTCGTCAATACCGGAGTCGTCTGCCTCAATGGGCTGATGCTCTGCCTCTTGTTCCATCTTGGGTTGCTCCTCGGCGTTGCAATTGATATTTGGGATCAGAGGTTGTCCGAGATACTGAGTCAGGTCTAAAGTTGCGGGCAAGAGAACGATGCTGTTTTGTGAGAGATCGTCTCCCTTTACCCCTCTTTCTGAGCAATTCCCTGTCTTTAAATAATTTCTCCGCTTTTTCAATCACATATCTGTTGGTTTAGTAGACAACAAGTATGGTCTGTTGGTTGGAAGTTCCAACTTCCGCGTTGGGATCCCAAGCCCCACCCATCAGCCAGGCACTGCAACCTCGGCTCAGAAATAGGCTGAATAATGTTGCAGAATCGCCAAGAACATGAGAAAAGTCCGAGTTGGGACATAAGTAAGGAAACTTTGGTAATGGGCTGTAGAAACTGATTTTCGTGGCCCGCAGAATAGACTTCAAGGAACATTCAGAGTGTATCCGCTTGTCATCGATCTAAAGCGCCGGTTGGTATTTAGCAACTCTCTTCTTGCCCCGCCAATGAGACTGACGGACTAGGGCAACACCCACTCATTTACGAGGAGCCTTAATCTCGATTTCTGTTTACTTTCTGCGACTGGTCATGATTATTGCAAGCAATGATAGATACAACAACCTCAAGATCCAGCTGTCAAAAGGTCGCGAGACGTGGAGCCTGCCCCTCATGGGCCTATGAGCTCTGATACAAGTGTGTATGTGTGTGTGTGTGTGTGTGTGTGTGTGTGTGTGTGTGTGTGTGTGAGAGAGAGAGAGAGAGAGAGAGATGTCAAGTATGGAGGGACGACGCCCACTCGTCTGATACATCTTGCGCTGACCTGACCAACTCATTGAGAGCAATAGGGCAGAGACTGAATTTCGTCTGTAGTCCTGGCATTCCTTACGAGATCTTTGGGCCTCAGCATATTGCAGAGGGTAGATTCTGCGGGCTATGTGTAGCTATTCCCGCTCAAGTCACGTCAAACTCATCCGTCTAACCGTCTCTTCAGGTCGTTCTACAATACGTCACTGCAAGAATATACTCTTTATAATTGATAAACACAAAAAGACGTTGGATTAGGAAGAAGTCAGTGCCTTGGGCATCATGACAAGGGACAACCTCGTTACTGTCGGCAAGATGACCATTGCTGAGTGGGAGAAAAGCTCTCAGCGAGTCCGGGCCTCGAAGCGCACCGCCAAGCTGTCGGAGTCCCGTCTGCAGGAGCGAGAAGCCATCCTGGCATACTACCGCGAAGAAGATGAAGCCGTCGACATTGGTGATAATATTGAGTCCGATATGCTCGGAGAAACGCAGGGACTTTGGGGCCCTAGGTAATGTATTTATATTTTTGTTGCTAATAAATGCTAGAGTTCCGCTTAGAGGTCTCATCATCTTGTTGTGGCTGCAGCATCTCTTACCCCTGTGTTCCAGGCTCAGGTTGAATTAAATGTGCCACCTTAGTGGAGCGATAAGAGTCTTTCGAGAGAGGAAAACATTGCAGACGACCCATCGCCCACCCTTTAGTAGCGGTAGTCTGACTGTCGACTTGTTCTCTTCGAGTTGAACGAAGTTCAAATATCTAAACATCTTCCGACCTCAATTGAGGTGACATATCTAATGCCGGAAGCTCTAAGGCAAGAGATTCATACTAGCGAGATGATTCATATTCACCAGAAGGTAGAAGAAAAAAGGCAAGATAACCCAACTTGAACTCGCGACCTCTCATCATTTCAGCGACCAAGTACCGGTACATACGTGAATACATAACACGTATTCATCAAGCATCACATCCCACCAAGCCAACTGCACCGAGAAGTGCACAAAAAACAGGCTATCCATGGCATTATGTAGGACCGTGAGCCAACATACATCCTCGCTTCCTGAAAGCTAGAATTGTACCGCTCGGCCAACGACTACAACGGACGGTGCTTGTTGACAACCACTTCACTTTCCTTGCCTATCAGGGTTTGACACAACTCTGAGTTCAAAACTCGATTGATGATCTATCTGCATCCCACCATACAACAACTTATTTTCATGACCCTAACGCCGCAGCGACCCCGTGTACCACAATCTCTTCCCTTGCACCTAAACCCCCCTCACATCCCAGCAGCGAGAGTATACCCTCCATCAACAGCAAGCGTCTGCCCATTCAAATACTGATTACACGCAAAGAACAGCACCGTGGACGCCATATCCTCATCCTTTCCAGGTCGTCCCGCAATAACCTTATCAGCATACTTCTCCTTCGGAATCTCACTCTTTTGCTCTTCATCAGAAGGCTCCTTCGTTGTCATCTCACTGGGGAAAACACCAGGCGCGATACTGTTCACCCGGATCTTGAGCCCGTTGGACGCGATTTCCTCGGCGAGCATGCGGTTCACGTGGATCGTCGCCGCCTTGGACGCGTTATACGAGAAGTGGTGCTGCGATTTCTTAATCATGCCGCTGATGCTGCTGATGTTGATGACGGTGCCGGACCAGCCGTGCTGTTTGTCTGTGGATTTCTGCAAGAGGGGGAGGAAGCTTGCGGCGACGTAAAAGACGGCCGCGACGTTTGTGCGGTAAGTCTCCGTCCAGTCTTCGAAATCGGCGGATTCAGCATCGAAGAGGCTGGCTTTCATGTCGTGCGCGGAATCGCTCTCGACTTCAAGTGGGGCGCTCGACACCCCGGCGTTATTGACGAGAATGTCGAGGGCGGATTCCTTGGATTCGATCTCCTTGTAGAGCTTGTCGATATCGGATTTCTTGGTGACGTCTGCGACGATGGGGATAATGGAGCCAGAGACGTTTTGGCCGTAGGTTTGGACGGTGTTGTCAAGTTTGGATTGGTTGCGGGAGGTGATGTAGACTTTTGCGCCATTGGAGGCGAGAGCTTGGGTTGCCATTAAGCCTATGCCTGTGCCGCCGCCTGGAGGGGGTTAGATCACGGTCTCAGAGAATGAGGGAAAGGAAGTATCGTACCGGTGACGAGGGCGACTTTGCCGGTGAGGTCAAAGAGGTGGTTGCGGGTGAAGAGCTTATTGCCCTCGGGGCCAGAGGTCTTTTGGCCAGTGGACATTTTGGCTTGTTGGGAGGGATGTTTGCGGGATGTGGTGTGGGTGGTTGGTGTGATGGCGGGAGGAAATACTGTTGTGTGTGCTCGCGTGATGAGTGAGGTGGGAATCCTCAATCTGGTTGTGTTGGTGTTGGTGGCGGGGGGAAGTAGAAGAAGAGGTGAAGTTGAGGCCAGAAGGCGGGAGCTATATAAACGTCGCCCCGAGATGACGACTGGACGGGAAAGTACAAGGGATGATCTCATCGTTGTCTAATACGTTGAAGCTAGATGCAGAAGGCGCCAATTGAAGTGCGGGAAACACAGAAGGACCATTCGTCTTATACACAATGCAATGCACGAGCGGGAGCAACTGCAACAAGCCCCAAGTCGTGCTTCTAACGTAGATGGCCCTGTCATCGAGATTCTACGGTAAGACCTACACACAACAAAATGCTCCTCACGTAAGAATCGCAGCGAATAAGTGTCCGCCATGAGAGGTAGGCACACGAACGGATGAGGTCAGTGAAGCCTCCATGACGACACTCACATGCAGTCGCCTCAATCCCTGGGCCCCGCGGAGGGAAAGATCCGGCAAGAGCTCCGGGCGCGGGGGAACTGGAGCTATGGTGGGGCACATTGCATGAGGTAAGCCGACGTCTGCCCCGCCAGTTTGACATTCTAGACCGGCCCAACTTACACAACCTCACCGACTACACCTTACCTCACCTTGCTCACCTTGCCTTACCTTGCATTGAGCCTCAACTCAATCACAGCAAAGCAACAAAGACATACCCACTGACGGCACGCAGAACTGCCTTAACCATCCATGTGCATAGGAACAAGCCATCCTGGGGTATTTATTCATACAAAAACTAATACAATTACTCCCGGTTTATCCTCACCTCACAGTGATGTGCTGAATCGCACTCTTCCACTTCTGTTCATCGCTCCTGTGAATCTCACGTTAGCAAGAACCGTCTCTCATCTCCACATCAAAGCTGCCAAACTTACTTGTCAAACTTGAGAATCCGCCCCAAGACAGGCACAAGCTGCTCCCGCAACTTGTTATCCTTCTGCTCCAAAAACTGCAACATAATCGTCTTGAGATACAACGTATCCGCAGAGCCCCCTGCACCTCCAGCCGCAGGTCCACCATTCAACCCAGACCGGTTCGAGTCCATCGAACTCCGGCCACTCGTGACACTCGCCCCGAGCTTGGTCTGGACCGTCTTGAGCTCCTTATTCACCTTGTCAAACCTCTGCTTGGACTCTTCAAGCAACCGTCTCAAATCAGACTTTTGCCTCTCGGCGTCCCGAACTTGCTGCTCCGACGCATCCAGCGTCGTCCGCAGATCCGAAACAGCAGACCGCATCTCCTTGACTTCGGCCTCGGCCTTCTCCTCCACGGACTCGAGCTCCTCCCGTCTCCGCCTCCACTCCCTCTCCCGGCCCTCCAGCTCCTCCTTCTCCGTCGAAAGTGTCTTGATATCCCGCTCCAGGTCGCGAATCTTCTGCTTCAGCTCCTCCGTCTCCCTCGTCTTGCGGCGCGCGAGCGTGCTCGACTCGTCCTCCATCCGGTCCCGCTCCTCAATCGCAGCCTCCATTCGCGCCCGCATCTCCCGCACTTTACTATCGGCGCGCTCGTCAACGTCAGCAAGTAGCCCGCGCATGCGCTCCGCCTCGCGCGATCGCTCCGAAAGGTGCTTCTGGATCTCGGCCAGCTCCTCCTCGAGCGACTCGGACTGCGACCGCGCCTCCTTGAGCTGGATCGTCAGCTCGCCCGTCTGGTCGCGCATGCTGCCCAGCAGACCCTGCGCGTTGGAGTACTGCTGCGTCTTGAGGTCCGCCTCCTCCTGAAGGGACTTCTTCTCCTTTTCGAGCTTCTCGATTTGCTCTTCGAGCTCTTTGACCTTGGGTCGGAGTTTGTTGGCGTCTTCCTGCACCCGCTGGAGCTCTCGAGCCGTCTTCTCCTCCTTGGCGGCGAGCTCGACCTTTTCGGCCTCGGAGCGACGCAAGTCGCGTGCAGACACCCGCTGGGCATCCTCAAGACGGAGCTTGTTGTTCGTCTCGGCCTCGACCTTGCCGCGGAGCGCCTTGATCTCGGTCTCGCGGTCCGACGCCAGACGTTGCGCCCTCGTCACTTCCGCCTTGAGATCCTTCTCCTTCTTCTCGAGGTTACGCAGCTCCGCGTTCTTCGCGCTAAGCTCCTCCTTGGTCGTCTTGAGCGCAGCAGAGTCCTGACGCAAGCTCTTCATCTCAGGCTGCGCCTTTTGCAGCACCTCACGCAGGTCGGTGAGATCCTTGTACCTGCTTTGCGCCAGTTGCTGGGCAGCGCCGAGGTCAGACTGCAACGTCGAGGACTTGCTCTTGAGGTCCTCGTACTCGCGCTGGAGATTATCAAACTCGGTCTGGAGCTTCTCCGTCGCCTTGGCGTCGTTTGTCGAGGATCCGAGCTCCTTCTCAAGCTCCTCAATCCGCGTCTGGAGAGCCTTCTTCTCGGCCTCGAGGTTCTTGATCTTCTCCTTGGCCACAACATGCTCCTGGCCAATCTCGGTGACCTCGTCACGCAGCGTCTCGATTTCCTCGCGGAGATCCTCCTCGGTCTTGCGCTGCTTCGTCAACCTCTCAATCTGGGAGTCCTTGGTGGTGACCTCCTCCTTGAGACGGGTAATCTCCGCTTCCAAAGCATCCGTGTCAACATCCTTAGCCTCCTCAGCTGCGGGCGGTGTCGCGGTTCCTGCGGTCGTGGCGGGTGTCGCAGGCGTCGCAGCGGTGGCGGCAGCAGCACCACCCTTGCCCTTCTTCTTCTTGTTCTTCTTGGCGTTCTTTGAAGTACCGGCAGCACCTCCAGCCGCGGGCGTCTCGGTCGGCCCAGTTGTTGTGGGGGTAGCGGGTACAGATTCGCTCGCCTGCTTCTCCAACTGCTTGCTAAGGTCGTCAATCTTCTTCTCGTTGTCAGCCTTCTCCTTCTTCAGGGTCTCGATCTGGCCGTTGAGAGTCTTGATGTTCTTCTCAACGTCCGTCTTGGCGGCCTCCACCTCCTTGACGCGAGCTTCCTCCTTATCTGCACGTGCGTTGGACTGTGTAAGTTTTGACAGTGCCTCCTTTGCGTTCTTCTTGGCAGACTCGACTTCGCCCTTGAGCTTGACCTCCACCTCCTTGAGCTGCTTCTGCGAGGCTTCCAGACGCTCGGTGAGAGACTTGATCTCGTTGTTCCTTGCCTCGAGCTGCGTCTCCAGAGAAGTTTTGACGGCAGCCACGTCGCGCAGCTCACCAGCCTCCTTGGTCACCTTGTCGAGGTTTTCCGTCAGATCGGTACTGGATTCCTTGGCGGCGGCGAGTTCGGCCTTGAGCGAGTCGACCTCAGTCTTGAGCTCCGCCTTGACGGTCTCAACCTGCGCCTTGAGCTTCTCAATTTCCTCGTCCTTGGCCGCCATGTCTGATTCGTACTTGGGCGCCTCCTCATCGTAGGAGAAGAAGTCGCCCGCAGCCTCGTCCGGCTTCTCCGCTCCAGGCTCTTGCGCCTTTTGCTTGGGAGAGAAGATGCCGAGAGCCTGCTGCAGGGGAGACTTGACAGCCGATGCATCGGGAGACTTGACGGAGCCGTCGTCCTTTGTATCCGTCGCGGCGTCCACCTTGTCCTTGGACTCTTCTGTCTGAGAAGCAGGTGTAGGTGCCGGTGCCGCAGCCTGCGCCGCCTTGAGCTCCTCTACCTCCTTTTTGAACTTTTCCACGTCCTTCTCGGCGGCCTCGCACTTCTTCTTGAAGTCGTCCTTCTCGATCGACACCCGCTTGTACTCGTCCATAATCATCTGCTCCTTCTGCTTCAAGGAGTTGAGATACTCGACGAGGGCCTCGGGTTCCCGGATCGAACCGACGCTGGTGTGTTCCTTAAGCACACGCTCAAAGGGCTCGATGGAGGTGGCGCGGCCGTGGGCGATTCTGTAGGATCGGAGGAGTTCTGCACTTTCGTGTTAGCGTTTCCAGTTCAAACACGATGGTTTGCGTGTGTGCGTGTGCAAGTAGTATACGCACCAGGGTACGTCTTCTCCAGCTTCTCCAACTTGCGAAGCTTCATCTTGACCTCGGGAGTCATCTCCGCCGCAGCAGCGGGCGGCGCAGCAGCAGTAGCAGAAAAAGCGCCCTCAGCACCCTTCTCCTGCTCCTTCTCCCCGTTCTGGCCGTCCTCCGCCTTATCCTTGACGTTCTCCTCGCCCTTCTCCATATTGCCGTCCTTATCCGCAGCAGGCTTCGGGGTGCCTACGCGACTCGGCTCCTCGCTATCGTCAAGCGCAAACGCCGCCTCAAAGACAGCAGGGTCCGGGTTCGAAGGGCTACTGCCGTCGTCCTTTGCGCCGGCGTCGGCTACCGCTTTCTTGGGACGGGGTCGTCGGGCGGGCGACTGGTTGCTCCGCGAGGTGGAGTCGGACCTGCGCGGGGTGCCTGTGCCTGTGCCTCCTCCTGGTTCGATGCGCTGTCGTGCTTGCTCCTGTCGAGCCTGTTCCTCCGCGATTGTCCGATCGATGGCGCCCTTGAGCCTCTGTTGGATTCCCATCATTGTCAGCGGGGACAGGTCTTGCAATGTGTAGAGGGTTACACGGAAATGCAGAAACGGAGAATGGGTAGCCGAAACCACCACGTGTAGGTCTAGATCAAGGTTTTTTTGTCCCGGGGAAGAGGGTCTGTGGAAGGAGAGTAAGAGGGTTTGGAGAGGAAAACCAGAGACGAACCTGGAACATGTTGCCGATCTAGGGATGATGGGATTACCCTGTGACCATATGCTCTGTTTCGAATACAATTCTAAGGTGCAGCAGGGAAGGTAAATGGTAAAAGTGGCTCAAAGTCTGAGAGAGCTATGCGCAATGGTCGATGTCGAGGATCGAAGGGCGCTGCATTATTGGTGGCGCAAGCACTACGTGGAGAAAGGGAGAGGAAGAAAAGGAACGTTTGGGCCAGCGCTGGTCTTTTAGAGAGGTTGTTTGGGACGAGAGAATGCGAATGGTGTGTGTGAGCAAGGTGTGGTGGTGTATGTTTGTGTGTGCGTGTGGTGGACGGGGAGGAATTTCATCCAAGGGACCCTTCGTACATTGGATGCGTCGGGTTTGAATTCACAAGTGTCCTTTCCTCACCTTACCTTACCTTCGGTAGTACCTTAGTGAGGTGCTCAGCCTGCAGCAGCTGTTCCAGGGTCACCGAGGTGCGTTGCGTTGCGTGTGTGGGGACCTCTGCTCCCTTTAGCGTTCAGCCTCACCACTAGCCACATTCGGTCCTCCGATCCACCGGTGCTCGTGCTGCGGTGCATCCCGTCTTCAAGCCCCCGGAATCCGGAACGCATGTGGACATTGACGCATAAGTGTCTCCATGAGATAACTGCACAATATTGAAAGTTCTGTCGATATGTTTTCCATTTTGTACGCTGCAATTATGGTACGAAATAATCGGCCATGACTAGCCAGCGCAGCGGTTCCCCATAACCACACCCCGTTTGTTTTTTGATTATATTCACTTGCCACCCTTGCCCTTCCGCTTCTTCGCCGCCGCTGACCCACCCTGTCGTCCTGTCGTTTTCGCGCCGGCACTCTGCTCATCAGAATCCTCCTCCTCCTTGATAGGGACCTCCTCATCAGACTCCTTAAACTCCTCGCCTGTGGGAACATCATCCAGCCGCGACGAGCCGAGGACCTCCTGCATGATGCGTTTTCCCTCCTCCATTTCGCCGTTTGTGGCCCCGCAACCCATGCACTTCCACGTGCCGATATCTGAGAGGGCCTTTGTGCCCGGTGGGGCCTGCCCGTTGACCAGCCTGCAAGTTTTGCAAATGAGGGCGATCCTGTTCTTGGACGCCGTCTCGTCCTCGCCGAGGAGGAGGTCCATGATGCGGTCGTACCAGTGCGACGAGCCCGGGAGTCCCTCGGCCTGCGCGAATTGCTGCGACTGGGGCGGCGGCGGAGGCGGGTGGGCGTAGGCGTTTGGCGCGAATTCTTCGGTAGGTTCGAGGCCGTTGGGCGGCTGCTGCGGGGGACGTCCGGCTTGGAAGCCAGGAGGAGGGCCATCGCGACGTTGGATGTTGGCGGTGGGAGGGGGCGCCATGTTTGTTCGGCCGCCTGGTACGGGGCCTTCATGTTGTCTGCCGCCCCGCTGGTGCTGCTGTCGCGGCTTCTTGTCATCGTCCCCTGCGTTCTGCTTCTTGTTCTTGCCCTTGCCTTCGTCGCCTCCGTACTTTTCGAGGAGCTCCAGGGTGGAGTTGTACTTTGTAGCGTCCTTGAGCTTCTGGATCGTCTTTGCGCGCTCGGCCTGCTGCTCCTTGAGGCGAGCAGATAGGGAATCGATGCGGTAGTTGAAGACTGCTGTGACGGTTGTTCGCGTGAGGTAGATGCTGAGGAGCGTACAATTAGTACCTCGCGTGTGCGCAAATAAGTTTCTCTATGGGATAAGCAAAGGACAACGTACAGGAGGGGACCTCCAGCGACGCCGGTCCATTCCGAGGCGCCCATGTCGTTCCATCCTACCACGAGGAAGATGACGATGGAGTAGACGAGGTAGGCAAAGGCGAGGTACAAGGACCAGAGCACTCTGATGCGACGGGAGGTGGCTCGCGCGCCATCGAGTCTCGCTTGGGTGTCTGTGATCTTGGTCGACAACGCAGAGAGGGTCTTCTCGAAGGAGGCGGGGGAGGAGTCGTCACGCTGTGAGTCGGCAAGTCAGCGATTCATTCCATCTTGTAGAGAATACGCATTATACGCATAAAGAGAAGGTCAAAGGTCGTGGCAGACGTACCCTCCAGGGCCAGAAGGAGACCATGGCGAAGGATGATGCGGACACGTGCCGTGCTCAAAGCGGCATGGCCCAGTTCGAGGGACCGTGGCAGAAAAGACAGAGTAGAAGCGTAAGTCAAGCAAAATGGAAAACAATGGATCGCGGCGAATGCAATTTTATGCGCAGTGGGAGATCGGACGAGCAGCGCCGCCGTATGTGTGGTCCTCGTGGCGACGGAAAGAGGTGCGGGATCGGGGGAGTTGAGAGGCTGGGGTGGTGATGGCCTGGGAGGGGAGGAGCTTTCGCGACACAAACGGTCCACCTTCCATTAGGTCTGGTGCCCACCTCAGGCAGGTGGACAGCTGTTAGGTTATGACGCGGGGCACCAGCGAACAGCTGTCCCCGGCGCTGAAGGAGGAAATAGTGGGTCTGAGCTCTCCCTGCCAGCTTACTGGAGCTGGGAGTCGCTACCTTACTCGGATAGAGCTGTTTTAGCGTCCTGATAGCTCCGGGATCAAGCCTCGCCTTATCCTCTGCAATATCAGCCTCAAAGACCTCACCTTGCCGTATATCGAGAATAATGGGCATAAACAACATTGACTAGAAGCCCCAGCAACACAATTTCTAGACTCAAGTACATCCGTTCTTTCTTTGGGGGAGAGATTGAGTTTGTCAGAGAGACACTAATTCTGGGAATGTTTGTAATATATCTAACTAGCGTAAATTGCTTTTCAAAAGTCAAATGATGAACAAATATCATAACAAATTTAACAAGGCAAAAGAAGAAGGGGATGGTAAGCAACTCAGCAATGATACTCCGCAGCCAGTCTCTACAGACGTTTCAAATGTACTGAGTCTACGACTCTCTTTGACTGAATTGTGGCCATCTCTCATGCTCGCTTGAGAAGTTGCGTTCAACCAAGGTAGATCAAGGTAGAAACCAGACATGAACCAAGCACCGAGGTTCGGGATAGGGTGCATTGAGATTAAAATAGAGCTCGCTGCTCAGAACGTGAAGTACTAGTCATCATAGAACAACCTACAATGTACCCTGACTATTTCACAGTAACGAAGCCTTGAGGATTAGGAATGAAGCAACGATAAAATAGAAGCACCTGATCAATGTCACGAAAATTGCCTCTAGTGATCATTACCTTGTAACCGAAATGTTTTTGATCCTATGTGATTAAATTCGAGGCCATAAAACTGGATCACGATAGAGAGAGTGAGTCTGCTGAGAGACTCACAATGATCACCGTCAAGCTCTGAAGCCAACGCTGTCTCGTGATAGGCACCCATAGTCTTTTGTTGCACGTGCTCTCACTGACGCCAGTCCATCATGTCGTTGGTATGAGACATTGGATGTTCAAGGCACTCGTACAGTGTGAGATGTATAGTTTGTGTTCTCTCTCTGCCATGCCGTCTTCCCCGAGAGTTGAGTCACGTCTAGGTTGATCCCAACGACCAGTTAAGCCAGAGAGGTAACTTACAACTATTGCATGAGCGAATCACTCAAGTGCTTCAATGCCTAAACTTTTACAAAGGAGTATCGAAGGAGTCTAGGACTCCCATACGAGACCTCACGTACTAATCAGCGAGTTCCACTGGGAATCATCACCCTCAAGAACCAGACCTCAAGTATCGAGCACGCAACAATATAAGGCTCATACGCAACTTAACTATCTAGACTCTCCATCACCATCACCAACACCGTCACGGCACCCATCTCCCTCCTCAAACCACACCCTCATCCAACAACATCCCAACTCTGCATCAAGACCTCCGCCTCAACAACCCCAACCAACCTTCTAAGCACCCCCAAAACCTCCTCATTACAAAAAACCTCGACGAGCTCATTACAACTCAACCCCCTCAACCGCTCCCTCACAACCCTAACAATAGCAACCTCCCTCTTCCTCCCTCCCTCCCCCTCTTCAAACGGCTCCTCCAACGCCTCCGCCAACGCAGCCTCAAAGTTTTCCCTTACAAGCGGTCCAATCTGTCGTTCTAGGGCAGTGAGAACCTGTCTACGGATCTCGTCTATGAGTCGAGTGCGTTCGAGGGAGAAGGTGTCGTGAAATACCTGCGTTACGAGAGCGCGGAGGGCGTGTTGTTGGGGATGAGTTTCTGGGGTCGTGTTTTTCATGTGGATGTCGCCGTCTACGTCGATGCTGCGGTGCGAGGAGGTTGAGGAGGTGACGGCGGGGGTGGGGGGTAGGATGGTGCGCTTGTGGGGTGTGTTGTGGTTACTTTCTGGAGTTATGAAGTTCTGGGAAGGGCTGCTACTGCTGCTACGCGGTGACCTTGGTGATGGCGTCTTGGGGATTCGTGGAGGACGGGAGGGAGTTGGTGTTGAGGGGCGGGAGGCGACGTGTTCTGCGGGACGATTATTTTGTTCGACTTGTAGCTCTGCGAGGATCTCTGCCGAGGAGCGAGGGCGGAGGGTGGGCTTCTTTCGACGGGTGAGGGTGGAGGCGAAGGGTGAGAGGGCCTTGCGGTGCGTACCTTGGCTCATGTCGATGTAGAATGGGTTCGTCTCTGTGATGGTGGCGGGGAGGGTGGCCTGGTCTGGGAGGCGGGCGGGCGCTGAAAGGCCTCCTGGGTTGGAGTCACTGGAGAACATGTTGGGTTTGTTATCTGGATGTGGTGAGTAGTTTTCCTGTCTCAAAAACGTTCTTGTAATGGCGAGCTCTCTCTAGTGATGATAGGATAGCAGGTACTGGTGGTCGTCGCCATTCACGGTTGATATATGTCGCGAGTATCGCAGCTTCTGACTTTGGTGAGCCTCATCATGAGTCCTTAGGGGGTCAAAGTATGTCGATAGTCACTCCAGTCAAGATGCGGCAGAAACCACGCCAAGAGACAATCACTCGGCGAGGAGCGAACATCCCAGACTCATTAAATCTGTCCCATATCGATCTGTCACGACATCCAACACAACCACGGCCGTCCAGTAAGTCGCCCCCAACTAGGGCATCTTGCGCAGCCAAGGGCCTTGTCACAATTGACAGACATGAATGTGCAATTTTGGACAAAAACACAACGGAAAAAAACAAAAAAAGGCATGCATGTCTTGACTCGTCACAAACCGTTGCAACTTTGTCGCCAAACGTGCCTTGCGTGCCAACAACGTGCCAATGTGCGCGAGCTGCAAGTCCTGCAGACCGACGTGGAGTCCTAGCCCCCTCTCTCATCGCCACATCAAAGTTCCCCACGGTAAGCGACGTTAGAGCCCTAGGAGGGGATGCGAGGATGTCAAATTGACAGGCAAACATTGTGGAGGGCCCTGGAGGTGAGAGCAAACTTCCAGCAAGATGCGGATACAAACAGCCCGTCACATTCGCGCCGTTGGAAAGTATGTGCTTGTGACTGGATGTTGACAGGGGAGGAGGAACAAGAGGAGAGGAAATGAAGGAGGAAAAAGCAATTCTCCTGCAAGAAAAGCGAACCGAAACGATGCGAACCACACTCTGCCTCTGTACGGATAGTTGCGCGCAGGTTGAAAGTCTGCCTCTGCCATTCTGCAGCCTGCCAGCGGTGCCAACAGCCAACTCAAACTGCAAAAATAGTCCGCTCAAGGTAACCCCCGCCTTATTTCCTCTCAAGACTCCAAGAGAGGTTTAGCTTCTCGGAGGACAAGAGCTGCAGGGTCCTCTTCCTACCACCTCAGCTCCTCAAACTAAGGCAGCAGGGTAGGTAGTCACGTAGTGTAGGGTTGAGTTGTCATGTACGAAGTACGACTTCGAACGAGATACTGATATGTGCGTTTGCTACTCAGAAGCACAGCACAGCACAGATCCTGCAGGTGGACCGCCCGGGAGGCCCTCCGCGAGTGCGTTGCGCCGGCCGCCGTGATGTGCAGGTTGTGTCTAGGGGAGCTGGACGAGTAGGTATGCACGCCGGTTCCTTGCTTATTCTCTTCTTGTTCATCTTTTCTTCTTCGGAGGGGCGGGCTGTCGTGTGGTCACTGCTGGATATCAACCGTCGTTGCAGCTTTGGGCAAGCGATTCGCCGAACACGGAAGATGCTGGTGCTCTTTTCGGGCTCTTGGTATTTCTTCAATCGGCGAACGGTGGAGGGCGAACCGGGACCACCGGACTGCTCAATCTGTTGGCCTTTACGCAAGTAGAAAGAAAAGGCGAGGCACAGAGGGGATTGTACTCCCGAGGTCCCAGTTCCGTTAGTGTATGTCGACGGCGAGTGAAATGATCGGGATCTGGATGTGGATGAAGCCCGGGCGGAAAGGGGGGCGGCGGCTGATTGACGGCCGATGGCAGGACCACACGATCCATATGCGATCCGTTGGTCCGCATGGCGCAAATGTGTCTCGCGATCGGAGGTCTGCAATGCACCCGTTGGTCGCATGTATCGAATCTAATTGAATCGACTCGGATCAACATCAAAGTGTCCTCGAAGCGGCAGGCAAGCCGCAGGCCGGCCGCAAAGCAGTCACAGTGAGTCGGGAGGGTTGGAGAAGAGCTGCGTGGAATAAGACTTGGCCAGTGGTCTAGACGTCACTCGGTTCGCAGACGCTGCCTGTTATAGTTGCTGTCACTGCCTCTCAAGTTATAAGTGAATTGTGAGTTTTGACGTTGTATTCCCTCGGCAAGGAGGTAGTGCGTAAAGAGGGAGAGAGTGCGACATGATGTGCAGACGGTGGCTAGGCCCGCGAAATTTGGGGGGTTTCATGGTGGAAGAAAGCTGGAGAGCTGTGCGTGTAAGTGAGGAGAAGCGAGCACGTAGGCACCGTAGGATGGGCGCGGATGCAGGGAACAGGGCGATCCGTAGCAGCGATCAGCGCTGTCGACTGTGTTGGAGTTAATGCGATGCTTGCTGTGCAGGTGAGTGTGAGTGTTGTCGATATGCCATCTTGTTTGGGCAGAGATGGTTGTCAGCCACACAAACAGTAGTAACACTATCAATATCAGAGCGAGTAGCTTCAGCTCATTGCAAAGTGTTATTGTTGCAGCTTCCGTGGCATTTGCGCTTGCACATGTCAACCCCCCATGATCGATCAATGATGATCCATGGAAGATGGTATCCACTGGGATGCCGTCACCACCAGGCCCAATGCGACATGCCGCTGACCTCCTCAGTTCGGATAAATTAAGAACAGAAAAAAGAAGAAAAAAAGAGGAAGCAGACATGGACCAGGGAGAGAGAGAGATTGGAGATTGGATGAGATGTTGTTGTCAGAATCAAAGACGAAAATGTTACGAGAAGACGGCCACTTTGAAAATTCAACAGGAGCACGGGAACAGTCGGGGAAGACCCTCGCCCATGTATTTTACCATATAATTAATTACTGCAGTGACGATACTTGATGACTACTCGCACGCACGTCGCGCGTCCCATTGGCTCCGGTCTGGCCCGAGTGGGTCATCCCCTGCCCTGGGGCAGTTCCTGCCTCGTTCGATTCCCCCGGCGGATGGGCTGTTTGTCAATTTTGGCAGCGACGTTCGACACTGCACGAAAATCAGACCACCTGCCTCCACCGCACAGCATTTACCGCACACCCCCTCCTCTTCCTACACCCCTCCCTTCCTCCCTTCTCACCACCAAACAATAATCAATCCGCCTACAGAATACACCATCATCAACGATTCAACAGTCCAATATACCATTGACCATTGACCATTGACCATTGACCATTGACCATTGACCATTGACCATTGACCATTGACCATTGACCATTGACCATCCACCATACCTTGCGGATACCCCATAATCCATCATCCATCATATCGACACTTCATCTCTCAACCATGGAACCAACACTCGACAGTGCTGCATCGGCGCATCGCTGCCCCTTCATGTCCCGCCATGCGCCCATTATGCGCTCCATAGACCTCCAACGTGCCATCCCACAACCAAGGAACCCATCAGACTCAGCCTTAGCGAACTTGGCAATCTTCCCAGGGGCCTTCAATTTTATCAATCTCTCCATTGGTTTACTTACTCGTGGACTGGTACTTGACCTTGCTGTTGCTGTCTGCCGTGCCTCTTGCGTCGAGTTCCGGCGATGCGTGCGATGCAAGGCAATGCAAAGCGATTACGGATGACTCGTGCCATAGCACCGCCGTCATCCGTCAGACTTGAATTACCGTTGCCGGAGACCGGCGGGCCCTTGCTGTTCCCAGGGCACTCAAACGCCCTGGACGCGAATCCTGTACGCTTCGGCTCCGTGACTCGGCATCCTCGGGCCTTGACTGAGCAACACCTCGGTCGCAAACGTCCGCTGCTCTCCCAGCCCTGCCAACTGCCAACTACCAGTGTTGCTGGCCTCGCCCAATAGTAACTGGGCAGTGAGAATATCGACACTAGCTAGGTATCTTGCTCATTCCGATTGAAGAATACTGGCAGCCGCAATCAGTGCTGGAGTGCTCGGCAGCATCAGAAGCCGACCACTCGGAACGTCTGGGGACTCGGAGAGGGACATGACTGCCAGCACGGCGCACATCATCGACGTGTCTCTTGCCTCTTGGGTCGAGTGGCCCGGCACGCCTCGACGCACGGCGATGCGCCCGACAAAAGCCTTGAATCCTTCTCCTTCACCGTTCCTCTTCAGGCGCTGACGAGACCGGCGACACGGCATGCCAGGGAAGTGGATTTCAGCTACCTGTCGCTAGGTATGTACGAATACCATAGGTGTTGGGCTGTTAGTGCCATAGGGGGGAAGTCTCAGTGTGTGGTGGGAGGGACCCTGGAGATCTCGATCGTCTTCTGCCTGCCGCGGACCACCTGTCAAACGGCCACCCACAGGAACAGGAACGAGGCGCAACGGCCGCCAGGAGGAGCAGTGACAGCTTCAAGTTTCAACAGACTTGAGTCTTGATCGTCGACAAGACAGCGAGCAACGACGTCAGTCATGATCCCACCAGTAGTCTACGGAGCAGGACTGTCCAGGATGTCGTTATGCACGTCAGGAGAATAACATCCCTAGCTGCCTACTTGCTTGCCTGGATACACGATGATGGTAAACGTCCTCAACAGCTCCAACAGCATTTACCTTTTCCATCCAATCTGTCAGTCTGGACCGGCCCCATCCGCCGTTTACGTCCAATTAGGTAATGCAAGACGTCCGAATTTGAACTCGAACAGCTTCACGACTCGACACCTCACAGTCTCACACGCCCCCCTTCCTACCGTAGGGTCTTAGCCTCCTCCCCATCTCGGTCAAGATGGACGAGATCTTGGTTTTACGCCCATGATCCTTTGAGGTTCTGCGTCTTGGGCGCATTCTGTGACAGGCTTGGGTTCTTCTGGGGAGCCCGGGGGCCACGGGGAGGGGGTCCCTGATTCAGATGCATTCCCACATCCATCGCACGAGATTGAAGGCACGTTCGGCACCACAACCAAGGTTGACATATCCGATTTCCAAGATTTCCCTTTTGTTTTGATGTGTTTTGGCTTTGGATGAGTCGCCAAAAGATTTGAACCGCAACCATATCGTCAGATCGCATGCAAGATGATGACGGTGCCCTGGTCAAAAGCAGACAGACCCGATCACGATGAAAGAATTAGAAAAAAAAGGCGCGCTCGCTTCCGATGAGATGCACCCCCCAATGGCTCCCCAATGGCCTCATGAAAACCGTTTCCCCCCAAACCCAATTTCGCACTACT